CCAAGTCTCCGAGCTGAGTCTACTGCACTTGCGCCGACTACTTCAACCTCCCCCTCCCACCACCTCGTCGTGCTGTTTTTCTCATCTCTCTCGGCAGTTATCAACTCTTTCTTCTTCTTTAAAAAAGTATTTAACCGGAACACTCTCCAGAGTTTCGAGTTTGTGTTCTGTCCAGCCTTGCTCTCTTCCCTCTTTACCCCACTTCTGCATTAGCTCCTGTCAAAATGTCTTCCAACGTCTTTGTTGAGCTCAAGACGCCGCTTACCGGCCCCTACAAGCAGCCCACCGGCTTGTAAGTTCCCCACCACAGCTCTCTCCTCCCAGTCACTCTCCAAGCTCGAGAGCTAACCACAAAACCCTACCAGGTTCATCAACAACGAGTTCGTCGAGAGTGTCGACAAAAAGACCTTCGAGGTCATCAACCCCGCTACCGAGGAGGTCATCTGCTCCGTACACGAGGCCTCCGAGAAGGATGTCGATATTGCCGTCGCCGCTGCCCGCAAGGCTTTCGAGGGTGTCTGGCGCGAGGTCACTCCCCAGCAGCGTGGTATCTACCTCCTCAAGCTCGCCGACCTGCTCGAGAAGAACCTCGACCTCATCGCCGCTGTTGAGTCTCTCGACAATGGCAAGTCCATCACCATGGCCCGTGGCGATATCGGCGCCGTCGTTGGCTGCATCCGCTACTACGGCGGCTGGGCCGACAAGATCGAGGGCAAGACCATCGATATCTCCCCCGACACCTTCCACTACACCAGGCAAGAGCCTCTCGGTGTTTGCGGTCAGATCATCCCCTGGAACTTCCCTCTCCTCATGCTTGCCTGGAAGGTCGGCCCCGCCCTGGCCACCGGTAACACTATCGTCATGAAGACCGCTGAGCAGACCCCTCTCTCTGCTCTCGTCTTTGCTCAGTTCGTCAAGGAGGCCGGTTTCCCTCCTGGCGTTCTCAACATCATCTCCGGCTTCGGCAGGGTTGCTGGTGCCGCCATCTCCTCCCACATGGACATCGACAAGGTTGCCTTCACCGGCTCTACCATGGTCGGCCGCCAAATCATGAAGGCTGCCGCCGAGTCCAACCTGAAGAAGGTTACCCTCGAGCTTGGTGGCAAATCCCCCAACATTGTCTTCAACGACGCCGATATCGAGCAGGCCGTTACTTGGGTCAACTTCGGTATCTACTTCAACCACGGCCAGACCTGCTGCGCTGGTTCTCGTGTATACGTCCAGGAGGGTATCTATGACAAGTTCGTTGAGGCCTTCAAGAAGCGCGCCCAGGAGAACAAGGTCGGCGACCCCTTCCACGACGAGACCTTCCAGGGCCCCCAGGTCAGCCAGCTTCAGTATGACCGCATCATGGGTTACATCAAGGCCGGTAAGGAGGAGGGTGCTACTGTCGCAACCGGTGGTGAGCGCCACGGCGACAAGGGCTACTTCATCCAGCCCACCATTTTCACCAACGTCCGTCCCGACATGAAGATTATGAGGGAGGAGATCTTCGGCCCCGTCGTCGCCGTCGCCAAGTTCTCCACCGAGGAGGAGGTCATCAAGCTCGGCAACGACTCCAACTACGGTCTTGCTGCTGCCGTCCACACCAAGGACCTCAACACTGCCATCCGTGTCAGCAACCACCTCAGGGCTGGTACCGTCTGGGTCAACCAATGTGAGTATACCTGCTTTGTACCGGAAGGAGTAACGTTTCATCGTGCTAACCAAAATGTGTCCCAACAGACAACGCCCTTCACCACCAGCTTCCCTTCGGCGGTTACAAGGAGTCCGGTATCGGTCGCGAGCTCGGCGAGGCTGCCTTGGCCAACTACACCCAGTGCAAGTCCGTTGCTATCAAGCTCAACTAGGCAATCAAACGGTAGCCGACTTCACGAACACAAAAAAAAGTAAAACAGCAAAAATACAATAATGACAGGAAGGATGGACAGCGAGGAATGAACAGAACTCGTGTCAGGTGTTATTTTTACCTGGTGTCTACGGAAAGGGGGACAAACCTGGGGGCCAGGGTTGTACTTGACATCTATGATATCCCATATGAGAGCAATGAATTTGATGACCACAATTACTGTGCCTTGACCCACTGCTTTGCTTCGTTTTGAGATGTTGTAAAGCCATTGTGTCCGGTCGCTTTGCGCTAAGTTTCCTCGTTGATCACTCGATGATTGTGAAAGGCGTTGTGACGGGTAAGAAAACCTCTTACTTCCATGGAATGTTCAAGCTAGATAAGGGTCTCAATTGTTGCCAATGGATATCATGTGGGATGTACCACTTACCCGCACCTACCCCGGATATACTACACGCACCCTCCTTTCTCCATGACACTGGCAGACACTGGCCGATAACTTTCCACCACTGCGTACAAAGCTCCTGAAATCTGGCAGTATAGATGATCAGCCATTCATTGTCTCGTTCGTACGTAGACTTCCATATTGGAAAGACTTGATGAACACGAAAACTATGCCTCGCCCTGCTGGTTTGCTGACATTTTGCTCAACATCATGGCAAAAGACGGGAGGGCAAAGATGCAATTCGAATTACTGCACAGGATTCTGTTTTTTTGCCAAAAGAACTTAAAGGGACCTTCAAGAAGCTATCCTGTCTGTTGTTCAATCCTGCCACTATCTAACATTAAGCCTGGGCGGCCACGGCTTCCTTCAAAAATGCTGTCATATCCTCCTTATTCTGTGAGCTACAACCCAGATGGCACCGGTACCGGGTGGTCTTAAACTTGGCGGTTTTTGGCCAGAATACCAAAGGCCAAATGGGCCTTCCAATTTTCGTGAACATATCCATAGAGGTTCACATCATGACGCATTCGGTACGTCTATGTTACGATCCAATTAGGGATCCCTTATGTAAGCTAGATCAGATAGAACCAACAGAAAGACCAATCAGGTTGGACCCGAGACGAAGGTTCGGGTCCACGGGTCCAGTATATCGGGTCCATGAAGACCAGTACATATATAAGACGGCCTCCCCAGGCCTCTTGATATCTGGCTCTTCAGCAAGCAATAGAGTACCTCTTTCGGCTACTACTACCGTTGTTCTTACTATTCCCAGCGATATCACTCCTGTGCTTGTAACGGTTCGTCACAGTCTAGACACTCGGTGATACTGCACGAAAGCATGATTGGTGAGAATAGGTAGTGAGAAACGTCACGTTTCATATTTTTCCTCCGTTTTGGACTTGATGTCAAACCAAGTGCGTGCCTATTACTAGCCGAGCTAACCTGTCCATTTACGTGGTCCTGCCACGATTGCTAATCCCAAAGTCGCGTCAGGTATCCCGTTAAGAACTGCCTTCAATACCCGCCTGTGAGGAACATCCCCTCAGGCATCAAGCACTCCCGCGCTTTGCCCTCAGCTTCTCCTGAATCTCCGGCGAAAGCATAGCCTCGATCTCCTCTCTCATGTTGGTGACATTCTTATCGAAATCATCGAGAGTCTTCTCGAAGTTATCTTCACCGAATGCTATCTTGAACGATTCTACCGAGTGATCAAAACCTTAGCATATACAGTAGTACGGTTGACATGCAAAAGGCAAAAGGTTGTCCTCACCAGCATTAACTCTCGTCGGAAGATCACGCAGCACACCCCGACACCCGTACCACTCAATCCGTTGTCCATGACGCAGGCGATCAAGGTCTGCATATTGTTGAGCTGCGCTTGGAGGGCTTCGCGCTCGGCACTGTCGTTGGCTAGACCCACGCCTTGGAGTTGGCCGTCGACAAAACCCAGGTAGCCCTCGATCAACTTGAGGGCGCGGTCCATGAGTGCAGATACGTCGGTGGACATTGTGAAGATAAGGTGTGGGAGAGCTGGAGAGTGGTGTTTGTTGATGAGTGTTACTGGTTGTCGAGTGTTGATGAGTGAGTTTAAGGTTTGTGAGGTGAGGTATTTGCTGGAGGGCTGGTACTTGTGCTGGTCTGTTCGATTCGGTGTGGTTGAATGCTCGAAGATGCTGGAGAAAAAGGTGGAACGTGAGGACAGGAGAGGCATCTTTATAGAAAAACACTCATCGGGGAATTTGGGTTCTGCTGGAGGCTCACGGCATGGACACGATTGACAGACAGTCTGCTTCCTTTGAGTCTTTGTCGCCAGCACGGGTTGTGGAATCCATCACCAACGTTGGAAATATGGTATATTTTGTGGTACTATAGTTTGCTATGGTGTTGGTATGGATGTCCTTGAAAGTCTTTGACCACTTGCCATCCCCAGGTAGAGATTGCATAATGTATCTTCTCCTGGTCTTGGTGGAAGTCAACGCTGAGACGGAGCTCAAAGACTCGAGCGGAAACATTAGGTTGATGTTGGCACGGCACGAGGATGGCCCTCACCATCAACACGGGCGGTTAGTGATATCTGGTCCATCACAGGTGATTGTCGGCTCGTTGGGCCAGCGAGCTCTTTGTGTTTCTCGAGGGATGAGTCCCGTCCGGCGAACATGTCTGGTTTACCATCAGTCCATTGGGCCAGTTCTTCATCTGGCAAAACCAGCACGTCATAAGATGTAAAACGAGTGGCTTTGGTGAGGGAGTGAAGTTGCTTTACCGCACTCTTTCTACGTTGCCGGATCCGTTGTGCACCAAGCAGCACTTCGACTTCTCTTTTGGTGCTCGCCATGCAGTTTAGGGCCAGTGTTAGGTGTTAAGACTGCTATCATGTCCTTGCCATTGAGTTCAGTTCCCTGAAAATTCTGGTCAAGACCGTATGAAGGAGGGTGATTCGAGTGCGCTATCGGCTCGTTGCTCGAGTCACTTTGTTGAGCTAATCTGCTGTGGTATCTTGTCGGCATTTAATAACAAAACCGTTTGTAGTGGGTAACCCGATACCGTGTTTCTCCGAATGACTGCCATCTTGGAAGGTGTTGGTGAATTTGATAGTTTGTGATAAGATGGTCTGATCAATGGACATCCGGTTCATGCATCATGAGCCAAGGCGTCGAAGATGACTCGAAACCGGAAAACTAACATAAGAAGCAGGCTCGCCCTTCCCAAATGCAGATTAGTTTCCGAGCATCGCGCATCGAGCGTAACACCGTCAACATGTCTACTTCCGCAATCCCCAGTCAACCCAAAAAGTCTATCTCTTACTCGCTGAGTCTGAAATCAGCGAGGAAGACCACAACCGCCTCCTCACTCAGGGCGCAGAGCCGCTCCGTCCGTTCTTCCGTAAACTTTTCGCACAATCAGAATCAGCCGAAAAATTCGACCCGGAGTCAGCGGTTATTCCACCATCACTCGAGGTTTCTCGCACCGTTCGTCTCTTGGACATTGTCAGACGCGATTGGGAGTTCCAAGAAGATTTCGACTCGGAAGAAGAGGAAGAATGGGAATACCGTCGCAAGCAATGGCTCAAAAGACTCGCCAACACTCTCGCAGAAGTGATGGTTGCTCACAACTTCATGGAAGTCCCCGACTCTAGGGGCAGCAGCGCAGGTACAGATCGCGAGGACGAGGCAGAGTACTGGGAAATTGAGGAGCTAGATGCGGAGCAACTCAGCAAGTGCCTGATGAAAGAACCCAGACGTTCTCTTCCCTGGATCGAATATCTGGCTTTCGGCATGCATGGGCGGACCTTCACAGGCTCTGACTTTCAAAAGCCTTGTGATCTCGCTAGTATGGCGGAAACATTCGCAAGATATGTGCGGAAATGCAAGGAGGGGGATGAGAAACAACGCAAAGGACTGAAGGCTCTGATGAAAATTTTGGCGAATGATATACAAGAGTGCGAATCGATTGAGGCTTGGTTGTTAAACAGTCTCATGCTGTTCTTGGGGGCGGCGGAAGTTCTTCGGTTGCAAGAGAAACCGGCGAGACATGCGGCTAAGTCTGTAGCTGTATTTCTGAGGAACTACGTAGCGACGGTGCTGCTGGTGGAGTCAGTTTTTGAGGGAGATGGAAAGGCGAAGACGGGAGATGAGGGTAATGATGTTGTTTTCTAACGGATGAGGGGAGAACCGAAATTAGGGTAGCATAGAAAGACCGAGGGAGTGGCCCGAGGAATGGAAAGCCCAGTGAGGGAGCAGAGTTACGGAATTCAACAGTTCTCTGATGGTTTTCTGGATCAGTGTACTTAGCTTGGGACTCGAAAAGGTGGTAATAAGAGCGAGGGGAAGGTGGCCATGGCGATGAAGGGGGGAAAGACAGGCAAGAGGTGGGGGGGACAAGGGGGAATGCAATCTGCTCTTTCTGATTCTGGGGGAATTTACCATCGGTTCGTTCCTGGTTCAAGTACCTTTGATGAGCCGCTTTGCTGTGATATGTTGGTGGCAGGAGCAGGGACATAACCGCTTGCGACTCGTGACCTGATGACGTATGGATTCAATGACTCCAGCCTTTTGCAGGCGGCTAAGGAACAGAAGATGTTGCGAAGTGTACTGGGTACTGCTTGCCATAATGCGGTTGGGCGCTCAGCCTAGAATGACTAGAATTGGCAACTCTGAAACATAAAGAGAAGGCTTACGTCCTCTTCATTTGAGATTAGCTTTCGAGTCTTCATTACACTGCTCTTGAAAGCATCTCGAAAAACTTGCTTACCTCCTGGGTTTCCCTTCTGTCCACCTCACGATGTCGCTTACTCTGAACATAAGCGAAGAGGAACGCGCCTGCATCCTCGCTGGGTTTTCAGATCCAGCTGTTCGCGCTAACAGCAAGCTCTCCGGACAATCCCATCGATCCGACAAGGACGACGAGGCACCGGCCACACTACCTGCCCGAGTTTTAGGCAGAGCCCGTCTGTCAGATGTTGTTAGGTCTGCCTTTGACCCCGGAGAACGAAGCGACGACGAAGATTACCAAAGACCACTTCCAAAACACGCTGAATCCATCCAAAACCTCGCCAACGCACTAGCCGAAGTTATGGTGCCCGACATATCCGCCGAAGTCCCATTTGTTCATAATCCACACAGAACCCCAAAGGAAACCTCTAGAGGAGATGCTTTCAATAGTATCCGACAGCTGGATGCGAAGAATCTTGCCATGCGGCTGATGAAGGAGCCGTCTGCCCACAATTGGATGAGATACATCACATTCACACCCGGTGGATGTGAATTCACGGCCTCTGACCTCCCAACAATTGATGAGCTTGTTGACACGGCAACAAAATTCAAGTATTGGGCAAATTCACGAATCAGACTTCTGAAGGAGAAAGAATCACTGAAAGCCTTGTTGGATGACCTGATTGACGCCCTATGGAACAACAGGTCAATCGAAGATCACTCGTCAATCGTTCTGTACATGTTTTGGGCTGCAACGGACTTATGGATGTCGGTAGACAAGATAGATTTCGATTCGCGGGAACGTGCGGGGAAGTTACTGCGGAATTATGTAGCGACGCGGTTGTTGGTGGAATCGACTCGTTGATGGTTTTCGGGATGGTATATGATAGTCGGGCACTCGGAGAAGCGGTGTCATCAAACGGATGAAGAATCCTCTGCGAGGTTAGAAGTGGCTTTTTCTCAACGCTGGGCTCGAGTCTGGGGGCCACTTTTGACCCTGACGGACAGTCGTGGTGCTGATGGAGGGGGGAATGCAATCTGATCTTTCTGATTCTGGGGGGTCCGCTCCTATCCCAAATTTTCCAATGCTTTTCGGAATGTTCTCGTTTGCCTGTTGGTTCCATAACCGCTTTGTGCTGTCCGGTGCTGCGTATTCACACACCCTCCGTGTGTGCGGCGCGGGTTGTTGGTTCGGTGAAGTGACGTCGGTCTTTGTCGGTTCCGGGTCCCGTACCCCGCCGACTTGTTTGCCCGTAGCTCGCGGCTCTGACGCACGGCTCAGTCGCGACTTGAGAATTTGACGGCGTCTGATGTGTAGAAAGTGTTTTTGCACGAGAGTGGATGGATGTATAAAATTGCCAGTTTGCCAATCAAGTTCCTTGAATCGCTGAATATACGTCCACACCGCCAAACATCCCTGTATCAGACACTCGTCAATTGTGAAAGACTTTTGGTTAGGAACTCTTACCTAACGTCGACCATGAAAGCCAAATTGGAAATACCCAAAGAGGAGTGGCATCAGCTCATCCTGGACCGAACACCCAAGTCGGACCTGCAACAAAAAGCATTCTCTGAGACGCCTCTTGCCCATTTGTTCTACCGACAGCCCTTTCTTTCCGCATCATCTGATACTCACATCAACCATGAAGAATCCTCACCTGGTGTGAACGCTCCTAAGACGAGCTCCCCGAGAACGATCGACATTCTGGCCATGATCATGGTCTCGGACAGAGAGGGAGATCTTCCCTTGGAGGATCTGACCGACGACGACGACGATAAGCCGCACAAATCTTGGCGAGATAGTGCCGTGCAATGCATCCGCGGAAAGAGCGTCGAGAATGTAGCGAGCTTGCTGAATAGCCGTAGGGCCTGGATCAAGTGGATAGAAGACGGACAAAACGACAAGGTCCATATCTTCACATCTGCCGACCTTCCTCCCATCGGTGAGGACAGCCCCGACAACAAAGCTGTCGCAGCAGGGTCAGATACGATGAGATCATTAGCAAAAAAGATGGCGCATATTGCCCGGCATTATCTCCCCAATGAATTAAGGCTCACCAACGATGGCGATGGGTTCAAGTATGAACGCCTCTTTCTCAGCCTCGAGAAAGCCGTGACTCAGTGCTCGGATATGGCGACTTACGTGCGAGTGAGTCTTTGGTTGTTTTGGGCATCAGCTGATGTCTGTCATGGAGTTGGAAATTCATGGGGGGACTCCGACGAGTTGTGGCGGTGCGAGGAGATATTACGAAAGTACATTCGGAATTACGTGGCGCTGGTCTTGCTTGGGGAGCAGATATCGATGGATGGAAAGGCCCTAGAGGAGTGAAGCTAGGCGGATCAGCTATAGTTCAAGTTTACAAAGGGATGGAGATAAATGGGATGTATTTGTAGGGGTAGAAATTTGATACAAGTCTTAGTATCTCGGGAATCTGCCTTTTCTGGAGTGATAGCAACGATGAAATTCTAAGTGTCTTGTGTGAACGACCCAGAGATGAGGGAATGGGCCAGGACGAGGAGATCCCCCCTCCCCGGTCGAATCGAAACGTCATTGGCAGCTGGCCACTCCCCTAGTTGTTGGCTCAAACGTTTCCTTTGTCCATAATGTTAGTATACCTGATCAAGACGGTCGTGTTGGTTCTCTTCCCGCGCTCATCTCTCTCGATCACCACCAACACCTCTCCGAGCGGTAAGGGAGGGGCCTGGTGACTTGAGGGCGCTTAACTCATGAGGATGAAAGACGAAGACAAAGGTTTTCAAACGAGAGGTCCCTCGAAGAGGTAGGAGACCGGGCATATAAGGATGAAGCAGGCACTGAGTTCCTGGTGGGAGGATGCCAGACAAGACCGGTCTACCATCGTCCATTAGTCCCAAGCATCGCCATTTTGTTCAAGATACTCACCATCGCCTCAGACCTTCCTCAATTGTCGTTTCATTCAAACGCTCCACGCCACCTAGCCATGTCGTCACCTCCACCCAAACCATACGAAGTTGTTGATAAGCTCCTCAGCGAACGAGCGAAGAACACCAAGTCGAAAGAAACTATCAAGTGGCTGCTTGAACGGAAGACCTTTCTTTCCAGCATATTCGAAGCCGATGATGACAAGTACGACGACGAAGCATTCGAGAAAGCTCTACTCGAGGCCATGATTGTCGACCGCGACAACCTGCCCGATCAGCAAGTGCTCAACGGTGATCGAGAGGATGAGTGGAAACTCGCCCTGGAACGAATAAAGGGGATGAAGGAAGACGAAATGAAGTCGCGTTTGGAGGATCTATTCTATACCCTACCGACAAGTCAATCAAGGAGGGAAAGGTTCCCATACACCGCCTTGTGTGATCTTGATGCCTTGAAAGACCTTCTTGTGTCAGTTTTGGCCAAAGCTATCGGAAGCGTCCAGCAAGCTGTTCAAAAGGACAAGAAAAAGGTGGATCACCTCAAGTCACTTCATGCTCTCATTAACGACTTGGCTCGAAGCATGACAGACTGTGTTTCGATCCAGGCCTATCTTTCCGTCGTTACTTTTCTCTTTTGAGCAGGAAAGGACATTGTGGACTTTATGAGCCCACTGGGGGCCCACGAGGCTGTGGCGGAGGAGTCGGTCATTGGTGCCATGCAGCTTCTTTTCAGAAACTACGTGGCCATGTCCCTGCTTATCGAGTCAAAGATCAAGAGCCTCATGAAGCCTCAGATATGGCTGGACATACCATTCGAGGAACTTGACAAGGTCCTCAAAGATCGACTTCCGAAAGATGTCGGCGACAAGCTGATCGAGGTTACCCGCAATAACCAGCTGTCAGCCAAGCCTTCCACATATTTGCCAGACAATGGCACACTTACCGACGCTAAGACTTTTGCAAAAGTGCTGGCCAAGGTAATGCTTGCGGACAAGTTTGGGGAGCTAAAGTTACCTGTATACGAGTCTTCCGACCTGGTTGTGGCAAGAATGAACAAGATAAAGAACTCCAGCCTAACTCCAGAACTGCAAGGACCGGTGGGCTTCAGAGGAGAAATAGAAAAGATGCAACTACAAGAAGCGGAGTATGCGATTCTCGACCTGGACGAGGAAACGATCGTGAGTCGCCTGGTGGATGAGCGTTGGATGCAGTGCATCAATGACAGGGCCGGATTTGTGTCCCATGACCTGCTCTCGCGTAGGTCAGTACAAGACGAGAGCAAGCACCTGGCGAAGATTATCAATGAGCGACTAGAAACGCTGCCAAATGTGAAGCAGCCAAGGGACGTGTATGATCAAGACCGGCACTGGCATCTCTTTCCCCTCATCCAAGACTTGGGCACAGTGGTGGGACACTGGGAGAGAGAGACGCTTGACAACTATATAAGGGCAAATCTTTACCTTTTCTGGGCTGCGGCGGATGCCTGGTCAATCTTTCCGGACGACGACTCGTATAAAAAGAGCCGAGATGAAGCCCGAACCATTGCCGAAAAACTCTTGCGGAACTATTTGGTAATGGTCTTGTCGGCGAAGCTGACATCAAATTCCTGAGACACAAAATTGCGCGCAAGCCCGTACCGAGTGTTACCTCTGCTGAGGCCGGAGAGTCGAAGACCAAGGAATCTACCGTCACGGAATCTGGAACCGAACAGTCCGCCGCCAAAAAGTCCAAGGCCGAGCAGCCTGACGCCGTGAAGTCCGACGCTGAGGAGCCCAAAGCCGGGGAATCTGCGGTCGGAGAAACGGCAACCGGGGAGTCCAACGGCGAGCAGTCTAACACCGGGGAGTCTAGTACCGGGAGTCCCGGAACTGGAGAATCTTCGACCGAGCAACCTAAGCCTCAGGAACCCACGGCTGAGGCACCCACGGCTGAGGCATCCAAGACCGAGCAGGCCAAGCCTGGAGACTCCGGGACACCACCCGTGACGTACAACATCCCGCACAAACCGCTTCCGAACCCGTCCAAAAGATGTTGTTTTCTCTAACGTTGTTCTTGTTTCGGTAATCTAGGACCAAAAAATATACCGAATATGGCGATTATTGCGATGAATGGAATGTAGAAGAAGCGTTTAGAGGTGAATTGCCTTTCTAAAGCTCATCACTGTCTGGTAACGTCGGACCGGTTATCGGAATTCGTGTAAGGCTGATTGCGGCGGCCATGATGTTGCGGAGGGAACGTTCGTCGGATTTCTTTTAGTTCGAGGATGCGCGGGAATGCTTTCAGGTGGAGGTAGACGGGATTGCGAAGCCGGTCTCGCAACATTGTGAGGAGGGCGTCAAGGGATGGGAGTCGTCGTCATAGTGCCGCAACCTGCTCTTGCGACCATTAGTTAATCCATTTCCATTTTTGTGCGGTTCATTTGCTGCTATTTGCGGTGTTTGCCGCTGACTCTTGGCGTGTTGGTTCTGCTTCTGCTTTGTCTGGTGTGTTGGTGCTCGTTCCCAGCCGCCCCGGGTGTGCAGTTGGTTCGGTAACTTGAGATTGCGTGAGCCTCCCTTGAGTCCGCAAACAACTGTCGGTGCTGGATCATTACGCCTTCCGAAGCTCCGCGGGCGTTTGAGGAAATGGTTGGCGACCAGGGTGTTAATCATTGACGTCTTGACGAAGACCATGCGCTCCTTCCATGTCGAGTGTCGCAGAAGAAAAAGCGAGTGATGTGCGTGAAAAGCCGGACTTCCTCTCCAATCCTCACGGCAGATCTTCTCGATAATCACCAATCGATTCTTGCCAAACCCCCCACCACGTCCACTTTTGAGGTCGCCAAACATCGTTCCTCTCAACCACCTCCAGGGTCGATTGAAAAACTCTCGAGGATGAGATTGAGAGTGAGGGATCTAGATCCAGAACGTCCTTTATTCAAGTTCATCAGGGACCATGTCGATGACCGGAACAAGGAATACGGGGAGAGGAAGAAATGGTGGAACGCTCGCATGATCAGGTTGTCCTCGGTGACTCTCAGCACCTGGAGCAGTCTCGACATCAACGGGCTCGTTGAAATCGGGACGCTCGTCAACAGGCTAATCATCATCATGGACTGCGACCTACGTGGCCTCCAGAAGACGGCACGTTATAAATATCTTTCTGAAGAGCAGCAGTCAGCTGTTGAGACCTATACCAGGCTGTTGTGGATTAGAGACGAGGAGACGGAAAGACATTTGCTGTTCTGGGCAAAGGAGACAATCGCCAGGCCGGAGTTTACGGTGTACGACGTTCTTACACCTGCGAGTCTCAGGGATACAATCGAGATCATGATCGGAACCATCCGCTATTACTGCGAAAACGATCCGACTCACGTACGTGAAGAACTAAATCGAATGGTAATGCTCGTCAGCTACCTTGGCATTTACATTGCCAATGAAAGTGAGGATGGAAAACCACCCTGTTTCCGAACAGAGGAGATTTATCTCTCTGTCAGTCTTCACCTTTTTTGGGCCTCGGTCATGGTATTCGACATCTTGTCCCAAACAGGACATATGTTCTCGTGGAATATTCCGGGTGTGCTTTTTCGGAACTATGTAATGCTTGTGCTTTGGATGGAGCAGAGGTGTAGGATGGGCATTTGGCAGAAGAGAGAAATATCCGATCAAGATATTCAAGTTCATTTGTGAGGTGGATAGAAGAACAAAGGATAAGCTGGAGAGTGATTTATGAGATTCCCACGTGGGCTTACCGGTGGAAAGATCGTTGAGACAGTCGTTATAGGAGTCGAATGATTCCGTGGTTTACTGCGACGAGTGTTAGCATGTTGGCATATTCAATTTCGTGCCTGTGCTGTCGGTTTCCTGTTCATGATATGGGTAGTTTGCTTCAGTTCCGTCTCGTCTGGAGCATTAATATCAACCTTGCCGCCCAGCCTGGATGCTTGTCTCGCGCACTAACATTTCTTCCGTCACGTTTGTCAATTGTAGTGGTTGCTTGATCGCGGAACATGTCGCAGACGACCATGGCGCCAGTCGAGTGACTCAATGTCGTTCAGGCCGCGAGGATTGCTCCATGAATGTTTCCCTCTCATGAAAAACTTCAAGCGACAAAGCGATGACCCCGATGTATAAAGGACAGACGTTTGTCCGTCTTCCAGCTGGTTTATGTTAATCGCCGACCCATCATCGCCCTTCCGCTTTGAGCTCAAGAACTTCTGCCCATACTCACACCTCGTCTAAGATCATCCAGAGGACTCAGCGCATACCCATCGCCATGGCGCTGCCGGTGTCAACAGCCGCGTTGGAAATATTCGTAGACGCCAACCCAGAAGCATGGTTCTCGCGGCTTCGAGGCCAAGCACTCCGCCCCGATCTCAACCGAGCAAAAGCGTCGGTACGCAACCGAGAGATTTTCCTCGTCGATCTCCTGGAGGAACATGGCGGCAAGCCAGAGGGCCATTATAGAATCTCCGCCCGAACACACCCTTCCTTCCCTAGGGTTTTGGCAGGGGCCATGTTCAAGGACAAGGCCGGGTTATGGTGTCTCCCCAATCGCAGCGATATTGCATTGTACAAAGAGGAGAAGGAGGAAGCCGACTTGACAAAGCGATCCCGTGCTCAAGTAGAGGCGATGTCGGAATATGACATGGTGAGACGGATGCATGAAGAGGGTTGGATAGAGGAGGCAGGCCGTGCTCCGGTGATAGTGCCTGGGCCAGAATGGCAAGTCAGTTTGCGAGAGGAAGTCGATGAAGCGCTTGTTTCGGCCATACACGTGGAGATAAAAATTTGTCAGCGTTTCCAGGAAGTCCTCAGAAGGGCGAAGATAAGCCCGGGGACGCTGCCCTTGAGGGAGGAGTTGGAGAAAATTGAGGAAGAGATGGAAAAAGTCAAGCTTCTCAAGAGGCTTCTAGAGAGCCTGAACCGTTACCTCAACAGCAGAAACAAGATTCAATCTCCTCTGAAAGTATTGATGATCGACCCCATCAGGGCCTACCTCTCGGCCACGGTACACCTGTTCTGGGTTACAGCCAACCGTTTTCAACTGGCCTCTTGTTCCTGTGTAGAGATGCCTGAGTCAAAGAAGAAGGCGAGACTGGATGGGGGTAGAATTCTGAGGCAATATGTGGCGGCCGTGCTGTGCGCGGAAAAGGGAAGCCACATAATCGACGCCCAAGAGGGTAGAAAAAGGGTCACGAAGACCATCAAGGCTGGACTGAGATCCACCTACATCGATCCAGAACCTGACTTGCTCGACTGCCTGTGGTAGTTGAGAGTTGATGGGACTGAGATGGCGAACATCGGCAGTACATAACTCGGTGAATAGAGGATTGCCTCCAAAATAAGGAAGCTGGGTCAGATGAGATAGAGGCTGTAATCAATCGGATGTTATGTTGCTGCTTTGCTCAAGGCGACGATAGTGGTGAAGTGAATCGTGTTGTTGGACCAAGAAAACTTGACGTTGGGTTGAAGTTCGGTTCAGAGGATGCACTAACAATTAAATCAGGCGTGCCCGTCAGCGGCTCGGCGGCAGCTGCAGCAGCCTGCAAGCTCCGCAATGGGTCACCCCTACCCGACCTGCCAGCCTGATCTCATCGACCCACAGTTGTGGTTCCCCTATAATGTGCCCAATCGGACCACCTGGCAGCGTGCCAGCGAAGCGCGCCCCATGGAAGCTCCAACCTAATCTCAACCTCACCTCTCCTTTCCCTCCTTCCATTCCAGACCGTCGAGCATCATCAAACCTCTCCTCCCACCAGCCAAGAACAAAGTCTCCCAACGAAGGACAACCCGCCCACCAAACCAAACACAAACCAAGCAACCACCACCGCAACAATGGCCACCACCAACAAAGACGGCATCGACCCCACCTCCCTCGCCCGCACCCTTTCCCACATGAACAAGGACCACGCCACCGACCTCCTGCATATGCTCATCCACTTCTCTCCCTTAGCCCTCCTACAGCTTCCCCTGGATCTTGAAAAACCCATTCGCGAACTGGTCCGCGATCTCCGGGGCGAGGACGTCGATATCCGCCTCGTCGACATGTCTTTGTCGGAATTGAAAGTGCGGACCCGCGCCAAGGGGGCGGTGAAAGATGCAAATGGGGAGTTTCGGACGATTGCGTATACGATCCCCATCTACCCGCCGATGAAGAGCTGGGGAGAGAGGAGGGAGAGGTTGGTGGCGATGACGAAGGAGGCCAGGGAGGGGTTGGGGCTTCCAGTCGAGGAATTGCCCGAGGAAGGGAAGGGAAAGAAGGAGGAGAAGGATGGGAAGGGGGAGAAGGGAGGTGCCCTGGTCGATACGTACCTGGCTCCCCGGTTGTTCTGGGACGGCGCCGTGGCCATTAGCGTTGCCTTCTTCTTCGGGTGTTATGCGGCTGTTCGGGGTGGGTACGTGGAGCAGGGGCTGTGGGCGTGGCAGTTCACGCAGAAATGGTGGCCTTTGGGAGGTGCGGGAGGGTTCAAGTGGTTGGTGAATGCCATGTTTTGGCCCGTGTTGGCGATCCATATTACGGAGATGGTCATGTTTGATCGGTCGAGGCTAGCGAAGAATGAGAAGATTCCGATGGGTGGGCTGACGTGGTTGAAGTGGATGGTCAGTGTGTTCTTTGAGGGTTACATGGCGTTTAGGAGGTATGATGACAAGGTGGAGGAGCTGGAGAGGAAGCAGCATTAAGTATGGTCGGATGACTGCCAAATGCGAAAGTAAGCAGTGAGAACTAGAGAAGGATCACACACATACAAAGAACGGAGGGAAGATGTGCTACATACCTCTACTGTTGCCATACTGTCTGTCAGACGAAGCGTACGGAGCAAGTCGAACAGGTGGGTAGAAGTGTTTGGTTCTGGAAAGAAAACACACCAGCCAAAATAGTATGGAAGGGCCTGGCCATGCAGTCGGTGACTGGCTCTGTGGAACTTGGCGAGAAGACACAAAGATGATCCTTCAACTACCATCAAGAGCATCTTATCACCAGACACAATGTTTCTGACATCACAATAAAACACCAACACCAACCGATAGGTACAAATAAAGCCGTGCCCTGAATTTTCAAAAGTCGCGCGCCCTGGCATTACAACTAACCACGCAACATCACCATCCACCACGTCCCCGACCCCTACCCCTACCACCACCTCCCCTTCCTCCACCTCTTCCACCTCTTCCGCCCCTCCATCCCCCACCACCACCACGTCCACCACCTCTATGTCCTCCATGTCCATGTCCTCCACCACCCCTTCCACCAAACCTTTCCTGAGCCGGCCTCGGTCCCTGCACCCTCCTCCCCTCCCTCTCCTCCTCACTAGCATCCCAATAATTCTCCAACCCTAACAACTTGCAAAACTCCGCGGTATGCGGATTCGTATACTCCACCGGCATCTCATCCGTCATATTTCCCGTTTCCGGCCTGTTGACCAAGTCAATCGGCGGCGCAGTTTGCACGAAATTCTCCGGCACCAACAGTTTCTCTCCCGTGATGTGTTCATCTACCCATTTCCTCGCTTCCTCAATCAAAGGGCGGTAACCGGCTTCACCGAGGTCGACGGGTATGGGGGTGTTGGGGTCCGAAGGGCAATGTTTGCCGACGGCGGAGCGGAGGAGAGGGTGGAAGGCGAGGGTTATGGAGAGCCATTCTGGGTCGTAGGAGAGGCGGAGGGGGCGTTGCAATTCTTCGTCTGAAGGGTTAATGGGCTCGATCTCGGCCAGTTGGAGGAATTTGCGGCCGGGAAGACATTTGTCGAGGGAGAGGAAGCGGACAGTCGTGTTGGTAATTGTTGGGGGAACTGGTTGGCCGGGTTTGGTTTTGTTGTTGTTACCACCGTGGGGTTGAGCGTTATAAGAAGCTTGGGGGTTGGGATTCGAAAAGGACGCCGGGAGGAGGGAGCGGAGGGCTTCGGTTGGGTCTTCTTCGGTGGTGGCGGCAGGTGTTGATGAAGCAGCGGGTTGAGAGGGTGCTGTTACTGGCTTCTCCTCGTCGTCTAGATCGAGATCGATCTCATCAGGGTTTGAGGTCGCTGCGGGTGGTGCCGCTTGCTGGGGTGCTGGCGCGGGTTCGTCCTCCATATCAAGATCGATCTCGTCAGGGTTCGCTGTCGCTGGCGCAGGTTGTGGCTCTTGGGGCTGAGCAACGGATGTTTCCTCTGCCGCGACCTTTTCCGTTGTCTCTCCTTCATCTGCCACCGCCTCCTTCGGCGGATCGTATGTCTTGATAGCCGAGTACTTGCAATGCAAATGCGCCGAAAACCAATACGGTGGCCTCAACCGATCCATCACATACTCCGCCGCCTGATTCCCCAGCGATCCATCAGCCGACTCCCTCTCGAAATCGGGCTTCATATTCCAGAGATGTTTCGTGTTTCCATGCTTCTCAATCGCCCTTGGCCAGTCATGGCTGATACAAATATCCACCTGAGTTTGCAGCTGAAGTAGCTTGCGCACGTCGATCTCACGGACGTGATAGAAGCTCTTCACGTCGTCGTCGTTGAAGGGCAGGTGTTCGTGATGCGCCTTTCGGTAGTTGTACCCCTTCCAGATACCGCTCATTCCGGCAATACGCAGGGGGCCCAACCGAAGAACGTTGGCGGCGCCCATGTAGTAGATGTTAGGGCACACCCAGCCGCCGTAGTAAAGCTCCCATAAGTGAGAAGCGGCTTCGTGGTTGCCGGCGACGAAGATGGTGAGGTATGGCGCCTTGCGCACGCCGCTGTAATACTCGTGGAAATCTCCAAGCTCGCGATACTTCTTGGGTACGGACATGGCGTTCAGATCAGCGGCATTGCGGACGGCTTGGAAATCGCCTCCGATGATGAGGAGGTCGACGCCATCCCATCCGCGTTCCTTGGCGGACTTTTCTGTGGCGGCGTAAATGGCGTTGAGTGTGCCGTGGCCCTGTCTTTGGTATTAGAATGCGTATCAATTGGTGATGTAGGGAAGATGAAAAACTCACACAACCCTCGACGGCGATGCGCACGCCCTGTTGGGTCGTGGTTTGAATGTCGATGCTCATGGCGATGCGACTCGGAGGTTGCGTATAGAAAGTTCTTGTGATTGCTTTTCGGCGTGTGATGAATCAGATGAAAGTCCGTTTGAGCATAGGGCAACTCAGATAATGACTTGAGATATCTGGCCCTATGCGATGAGGATGACGAAATGGGAAAGAAGTTCGATGCTGGTGTTGAGTTGAGCGAGATTGGCCTTCACTCACAGTGCCTTTCAGTTTTCCCCACTATCAAACTGTTGGACCCACTTATTTACAGTGCGATTTCTAGCACCGGCCCCCCAGGCAACCGCGCGAGCCAACTTCACCTCAACAACAAAGACCGAATGACATGACGGCAACCAGCTCTGCCATCACTGGGAAGCACGATGTTGGGATGTTTTCAAGTTGAGAACCAAGTTGTCGAGATCCCAGCACTTCAGTAAATTGACGTCGTAATACTTCCCATCTACGACTTTCTCTCGACGGTCGAACGTCCATCTGGACGCCCAGAGACCCCTTCTACGGCTGGGGTGACATGAAGCCATCACTGGTGTCATATTAGACATCTCCTTTCTCTGTCCATAGCAAGATGCTGCAACGTCGTGTCAATGGTATATATAGGTCATCTTGGCCCAGGGCGGCTTCGCAAGCCACGAAACGATGACAGCTCGGAACGGTCCCCGAAACCGCCCGGACGAATGTTCGCGGTTGTGGATACAATGTATGGATCACGGAGCTAAGTCGCCGTTTTCAGCCGCAACCGCGGTCTAGACTCTATATGAAAGGATTATATTCTGATGACTTCAACCATTTTCTTATACCTTCCTCTCGTGTTTTTGATAGCATCTTCTTCAGCTTTCACACGAAATTCAATTCGAACATTCGGATACCGTACCCATCCCCATCCTTGACCAGTATCGTCACATCGCCAAAATGTTCAACCTAAACCTCAACCTTTCCTACCAAAACATTCACTTCCGCCACCCCTCCTCCTCTTCTTCCTCTCCCATACCGCTACCCACTCTCCCCCCAGGAATCTCCCGCTCCTTCATCCCTACTCCCCACGGCGACCTCGAAATCCTTCACACCTCCCCTTCCCCCTCTACCTCGTCCCAACAACCAGCCCTCTTCTTCATCCACGGCGGCATGGGTTCCGCCTCCGTCTGGCTCGAGTACCTCACTTTTTTCTCGGCACAGGATGATCCAAAAATCCCTTGCTACGCCATCTCCATGCGCGGCCACGGAGGGAGTTGGTACCCTTCCTATCTGAGGATGGTGTATGGGACGACGAAGGGGGATTTGGCGGGGGATGTTGTGGAGGGAATAAAATGGGCGGTGGGGAGGGAGAGGGAGCGGTTGGGGCTAGGGCACCAGGAGGGAAATGTAAGGGGGGCCAGTGGGGATGGAAAGGAGAGGGGGGATGTGGAAAGGGGGAAAGAAGAGGAGGTGGAAATGATACTCGTCGGGCATTCCGCTGGCGGAGGTCAAGCGCAGTACATCCTCAGCAGCGCAGACCTTTTGAGCGGCTTGGGGGTGAAGGTTAAGGGGTTGGTGTTGATGGGTGCTATGCCTGGGTTTGGGTCGTAGGTTTTTTCCTTTTTTTCTTTCCCATCCCTCTTCTCGTTTCTCCCTTCTCGTTTCCCCCTTCTCCCCTCCCTCCTCCTCCTTATCCCCCCATTTATCTCCCCTCGCCATTCCCCTTTCCCCCTCCCCTTTTATCCCCCTTCCCTTTTCCCCTCACCCTTTCTCCTGCTTCTCCCCCATCCCATTCTCCCCCATCCCAACCCCCAAAACTAACACCCCCTACAGCCTCCCCGTCTACCTAAACTGGTTCGCCCTCGACCCCCTCTTCACCCTCCGCCTCCTCCTCCACCTCTGGCACCCCAACTCCCCTCTCTCCCACCCCTCCCTCGTCCGCCGCATCTTCTTCTCCTCCAACCAACTCCCCGACTCCTATCTCTCTCGATTCATGTCCTTCATGAACCGCTACGAATCCCTCCTCTGGCCGCTGGGGATGTGCTACTCTTTTGCCAATCCGGAGAAGGTATTATTACAAATATCTGGCTGGGGGAGCGAGACGTCGATACGGACACAGACACCGGGGAAAAGGCAGCGACAAGAAAGGGTGTTGGTGATTGCGGGCGAGCAAGATGTAATCATGACGCAGCCTATTATGCAGAGGTTGGCGGGGTGGTATCGTGCTGCGTATAGGAGGTTGGTGGAGGGGAAGAAGATTGATGGGGCTGTGGTGAGGGAGGAGGATGAGACGGTCGAGGAGGAGATTGAGAGGGATGACGGCATCGAAGTGGAGGGTTCAGGGGGGTCATCGAAAGACACAACGGGGATGGGGGTCAGGTACGCAATCGTTCCCGGGGCGGGACATCACTGCCAGAATGATGTGGGTTGGGAGGTCGGGGCGAGGAAGGTGTTGGGGTTTTATCGGCAGCTGCTTTGATAGCCTCGCTCGTGTCTGAGAGCGTTAGGGAGCTGTAGTAGCTTGTTGTTGGACGGCAACAAGAAATAGGTGTGTGGTTTTGTGTGGTTTTGGTTGGTGGCTACCTCTAGATGAGACGGGCGACGGATGATGTATACTGAATGTATTATTAATGGTTAATCCCCTCTTCCACTTTCCAGTCTGTTTCCTCATGAAGTACGTCACAAAGCAAGTGGTGCGCAGGATGGAGAGTAGTAGTGCGTGATGAACATGGCGTACCTATGATTAGAGTAGGAGAGACATCTCATGAAGTCATCAAGGGAGTCATCTCACCTGTCCAGTTCATCTCATCACAGACTCATTACTACAACTGACTCACACAGGGACACGTTTTCATGCACCGTCAGCGCCAATACCAAACCTGTTGCTATTGTCATTCATTGCTTCGGCTCTCTCCTCTGATCGTCTCTCCACTTCACTATCCTACGTAGGTATCAAACCTAACTCGGAGACAGAAAGGTATACGTACAACCCGATGAGAACTCAAAAATGAAGTACCAAGTAAGTAACCGAATTCTTTTTTTTCGAGTCACGCACGCCCCTTATGCTATGCCGCCGCCGCCGCATGAGAAAAGTCCCCCCTGTGAAACCTAGGCAGGGAATACGACGAAAACAGAAAAGGCTTCTCCCCTCATTTCTCTAGATGAGTAAAAGAAGATGAGGTAGTAGCAAAACAAAACAGGAACAAGAGAAGCTAACTGCAATGATAAAGAAAATGTTTATGAGAAAACGGGCAAAAGTAAGACAGAAAATAAAACGAGTAATAAGGTAGTGTAGCAGTAGTAAGTGTAGTGTAGTGTAAGTGTGTGGTTGTAGTTCGTTGCAAATCATGCATGCGTGCCAGTCCAGTCAGGTGTCATTACCTTCCCTCCCCTTTCCCCCTTTCATCTTCCTTCCTTTCCTTTGTCTTTGAATTTCTTGCCTCCTTTCCTCTTCCCTATACTCCCTGACAGCAAACGAACAACACCAAATTCGCCATGTTATAACCATAGACCCAGCCGCTTTTCGCTATGCAAGCATCAATCGCCAATTCGACATTGTTCGATCATATCCTCCTCTGTCTGTTTCAATCCAACCCTCACAGACCATCCAAACCGTCCATACATCCAAGCTGTGTCCTCCATCCGTTGCAAAGCGGTATCGGAAATAGTATGCGGTATGCGGTATGCGGGTTGTCGAACTCGGCTCGGCTCGGTCTTGGTAGGGTGGGTGTGGGTGTCGATCCCTGTATAGCTGCTGTTCCTCCCTTCTTTTCCTTCCCTTGGTTTCCTCACATCATGCCACACTTTCTCTTCTTCTTCCTCGTTTTCGGAACAACCGTGCCGCCCACACCGGCCGCCTTGACGGGCCCTATCCCGGCACCGGGCTTGTCACCACTGCTGAACGAGATTCCGCTGCCCTTTCCGCTTCCCGAGCCCGCGCCAACACCCAGCATGCCGCTCGCGGCTTCCTGTTCCAGCGTTTTCCTGTCGTTGGCGACTACTGTGAGGATGGCCTGCTCGAAAATCTCTTCTACACCCTTCATCTCCTTTGACGAGCACTCCATGTACTGAGCGCCCATCTTCTTGGCGACGGCCAGACCTTGTTCGGTGGTGACGGGGGTGAGACCTTGTGTCTTGAGCATGTCGATGCACGTCTTCTTGTGGCGGAGGTCGGATTTGAGGCCGACGAGGATAAGGGGGGTGTACGGGCAGAAGTGGAGGACTTCGGGGTACCACTGGGAGGTATGTTAGTATGAGGGTGGGAGAGAGGAGGGGTAAGAGACGGCAACATGACTCACCTTGTCCATGACATTCTCGAGAGAGTTGGGGCAGTCAATGGCGAAGCAGACGAAAATAAGATCGGTTTCTGGGTATGACAGCGGTCGCAAGCGGTCGTATTCCTCTTGGCCGGCGGTATCCCATAGGGCGAGCTCGACGGTCTTACCGGTCGGTGGATGCGTTGGGTAGGTAATGTAGTTCTCGAAGACGGTTGGGACATATTTCTGTTTGCAACATGACAGTTAGCGCCAACCGCAGCTGTACCTTAATGGATGGAACGTCATACCTCTGGGAAGTATCCCTGACTATAGCTGATCAAGAGACATGTCTTTCCGCAACCACCATCGCCCACCACCACCACCTTCTTGGAGTATGCCGGACCCTCGGTCATGGCCGTTGTTGCTGCTGATTCTCTTCCGGTCGACGATGTGGTGCTCATCATGGTACTCACTGTCCCATCACTCGATCTCGTCCCGTTGTCGCGTGGTACTCGTCGGCTGGCGCTACCAGTGGATGTGTAGGACGAGGTGGTGGTCGGTCGTCGTTGGAGTCCTGCGCCGGGGCTGGTGCTATCGTGCCTGTCTAGGATGGACGACACCGACTGCGAATGATAGTGGTGTGAGCTGCGGAACTTGCTTGACGACGACATGCTAACGAGGCTGAGGTGTGTATTTGCGGGTAGGTGAGGGATGTAGAGAGTAGGGGTGTTTGTTTTTGTTATTCGGTCACCGCCCCCCCGTAACTTTTCGTTTTTGACGGCGTTAAAGTTGGCGTGGTTTAGCGTCCGGCAACGGTTCTCCCAAATAGCTCTCCCCAAGCCAACCACAACAACGACAACGACTCCTCAACGAGCGGAAACGGTTTTGGGAGCTTTTTGGTGGTTGTTGCTTGCTCTCTTTCTTGGTTCTTCGGTAGGTACCTTAGGTAGGCAGGCAGGTAAAGATTGTGGTGCAAAGACGAAGAGAAGAGATTCAAAACAAAGCAGCACTGAAGGCAAAGCTTACTCACACCGAGTTGGGAGAAAGCGGCAGTGCGGAAATTGTATGTGTGAATGTGCGCAAAGCAAGGAGCGAATGGCGGAGAAAGTGGATGGAGACGGGAATGTTTTGTTGTGGTGCCTGACTTTTGCGATTCCGGCTGCCGAACTGTTGTGACTGACGATGGGAGGCTCCTGCTTAGTTGCAACAACACACCCGGACTGGTGGTTCCTTTTTTTCCAGAATTTCGGAAGCTGCAATCGAAGGTCTGGTCTGGTGTTTGGGAAGTCGCAGAAGGTGCTTGGAAAGCGCGAATTGAGGTTGTGACGGGGGGCCTGCGAGGCGGCCAAGGCGGTCAAGCACTACAGTAGCAGGAGATTGGGGGAGATGTTGTTTTGGGCCTCCGTGTGCCTGTGCTTATCGTATCGCGGCGGTCAATCAATGTTGATCGAGGGGTTGTTGGAGAAGAGTGCCAGGTGGTGTGCGAATGGGAATGGTGAGAGACAACGGAAGAGTGGACTGAACCGCTGGTTGTTGTGGGTGGATATGGAGGCCCTTGTAAGGTCAAGGCAATCAAGCAGCCAGCGGGAGGCAGGCAGGGCAGGCGCGACGGCGGGAGAGGGTCAGCGTCCCAGCACTCAGGAGGGTGTGTGGTTTGTAAACTGTCGGCGGGGCAACCGTTTCCCCTTTTGCCTTGGCTCCTTTTACTTCCACATGAATTGCAGCCAAACAGCTTGGCAATGACACAACTTTGACTGCTTCAGCACTCAGCAGACTCGCAGTAAGTCGCACCAGACAAACTCGTAGACGACCGCAGCCTTGCTCAAACAGCGGTTCGACCTTGGAAAAACAGTGCTAAAATTGGTTCTCAAAGTAAACCTGGTCCACTCCAAGAGATCGCGTTGGTCGATCGTCAGAGCATCTCTCAAGTGCATCCGGGAAAGCCTGTTTTAATGCAGGTACCGAATCCGCAAGTAGTTGCAATAGCAGCACATCATATGGGACATCATATGGCCCTCCAGAACACCGCTTTCCTGTAAGATTCACGAAAATGAAATTGTTTTTCAAACACGCCCTTTGTGTGCGTCTTTTCTCGTCCCCGAGACCACATGCGGAGGCCTATCATCCATAGCCACATGTATTTGTCCATGTTCAGCTGGGACCTCGAGGAGGCTGGGAGGTTGGTAAGGGGAAAAAGACCCACTTTGTCGTCCGAACTGGACGAACAGGCACGAACTGGACCAAGCTCGCCAAGAAAAGAGCTCCAAGCTTCAAGGATGAGCTTAGGTAAAAATCATGTGGCCTGTGCGTCACTGAGCGTTTCCACTGCCCGTGCATGCATGCTGGCCGGCCGGCTTTTCATCGGCTCCGGGGTGTGCGGGCCCGACTGCAAAGACTGCGGGTTCTTCACTGTCGGCAGCCGCTTCTCTCACGTTCTTTCCTTTCCCTTCCCTTGTCTTCCCGCCAACAACCAAATTTTCTGCCCATTGTCCTACAAACCGCGTCTGGCACGCGTTGAGGGGCAATTTTTGCAACAAAACCGCAATCTCCCTTTCTCACTGTTACACAATCATCGTCAGAACAACAACACTGACGGTTGCGAGAAACTACCGGGAGTTTATTTGACTGCTACAAACTAATTGCGCAGTGTCCCCATCCTGTCAGGATTTTCATTTTCTACCCAACCACCTGCCCAAGTGCGCGGAAACCACACAACCCACACTGCAAGATGGACGCCACCAACGGTAACGGCGGCGCCAGCAAGTACATCACACTCGTCTCCAAGGACGGATTCGAGTTTGTTATGCTCCGCGAGGCGACCCTCTGCAGTGACTACATAAGAGGTATGCTGCGTAACAACATGACCGAGGCCAGGACTGGTCGTTGCGAGCTTCAGGACATCAAGTAAGTTTTCTCCCCCGTCACACTATCCCCATCCATTTCTGCTCTCCGACACAACAAGCTGCGTGATGAAAGAAGTTTTGCTGCGTTCTTTATGACAGACCAGCTTTTCCTTTTTCAAAAAAAAAAAAAAAAGGTGGCATGGACTGCTTGATTATCAACTACACTTGATCTGATAGCTTTTCACGAACCCAAATCCGCTTGCTCGTTCACTATATCTAGGTCCGCCAAGTTCCAGCTGCTAACCATTTCTTCTCTAGTGGCGTTATTCTTGAAAAGGTGGTCGAGTACTTCCACTACTGGTACAAGTACCGTGACCGCGAGGACGTTCCTGATATGGAGATTCCCGTTGAGAACTGCCTTGAGCTCGTCGTTGCCGCGGATTACCTCGGAATGGACAGTAAGCCACACTGAGTGATTCCCGTCACACACATATTTCCTACTCTATACACCTGAGCTACGTGGATACGTTTTGCTTAACCTTTCTTCTTCTACCTGCAGAGCAAGTCTGAGGACTTGATTCGGATATGATGACCTCCCCATGAGATATGACAAACGATATTTGGAAAGACAATCGGCGGCACCAAGGTGTTCGATGTCGAAAGACCAAACGTCACGCCTGCACAGACATGTCATGGACAGTCTGGTGATGGAAGGAAGCACTATTTTCAAGAGATGGAATACCGTACAGGGTCGGCTCGGAGGACATTGTCTCGAAGAAGCGAACATCAACATCGAAGCCTGATGGTTTCGCCAACAGCATCCCCGTGATACTCTCCCACAAGCCCTGCAACTGCAACTTGGAAACCAAAAAAAAACACCATTCTTAGCCGAGACGGGTTTCCGAATCCATCTTAGCATCTCGTCATCCCAGCTCTCCCATGGGTACGACGTCTTAAAAAGAGGTGGAAGAGCAAAACCTTCCTTCGCGATCTGCTTCTACTCAATTCTTTTCCTACTGAGTTTTCGCTTTATAGACGAGGAGACATCTTGACACATCAGATAGACGTCAAAAATCACAAATCACTTCGCCGCATCTTCGAGACCGATATCACAACCATGTGTGACAGCTGCCGTACCTGAGTGTGTGTGTGAACCGAGCTGTTGTTGTTCTGACTTGAATTGAATTGCTTTTCCGTTGTCCTTACTGTCTGGGTATCTTATCCATCCTTCCGTGTGATTATTCGTACAATCCAAAGTTGTCATATCACCCATTCGCTCCCTTTCCGTCTCCGTTGCCCGTCGCCCCAGCTGTCCGGCGTCCATTCTTCGGACGTGACATGTTGTCTTGGATGTCGTTCCGTGTCCTCCGTCGGTGGCAGTCATGCCAACATGCAAACCCCTTGTTCTTCCGTATCAGTCGTTTTCCCTTCTCGTTATGTATCCGGTGGTCGTTTCATCGCGGCCGGTGCTGTGCTCGATTCACCTCTCCATCTTAATCTTACTATCCTCCTCCTCATCCACCTCCATCTTGGTATCATCTTCTTCTTGTTGTCCTTCTTCGCCATGTGTTGTCTGTCCCTGCTCTTGTTGTCTTGCTGTTGTTTCTTGCTCCGGTTGTTGTTGTTGTTGTTGCGCTTGTTGCTGCTGCTGCTGCTGCTGCTGTCCCTGTGCCTGTGCCTCTGCGGGATCTTTCGCCATGACATTCTCAAACTGCGACCAGAGGGCTTCGACGGAGGAGAATTCGTTGCCAACCTATTATTAATCGCAAAGTCACGTAACCTTTAGTATCCAACTGACTGGACTTGCATACAGAAGAGAATAGAAAAAGAGAGCGAGAGGACGGAGGAAACACACATACAGTAATAACAGCCTCCAACGAGCGATTCAGCTTGTTGATGTTTGCCAACACATGCTCAAAGCTATTTGCGATGTCCCCGATTAGCGCTTCGCGCTGCTGCTCGAAGTACGTCTTTTCCCGGGTGCCGCCGGTGATGGAGGCGCCTAGGAAGTTTTGGGAGGCCATTTTTTTCCTTCTTTCCTTTGTTTACAGAGCGGAATGGCGCTTCGGGTTCAACATGGACAATAAGACTGGGAGTTGGAAATGTTCAATGCGGGGAGACGCGACGACGCGACGACGGACTGTGGGCGGATGGATCTTGTCGGGATCTGGGGCAATGCGGGGCGAGCTTTCAGGTCAGGCCCAGGGAGGTGCACTGTGCAGTCAGTGCTGGAGTTTTACAGGGGACCGCTGTTACGCTGTGAAGTGTGTGCCTGATAGGGGTCCAAACGACAGTCAGAATGACGACATCATCCCTTGTCGCTAACAGTAATGGCGGTGAAACCCAATGCAGATCTGTTAGCGCCTTATGTTGGGCTTGATCAGATGTCCAGACAACCTGGCCAGGGGGTGGGAGGGAGACCACCTCGCTTCGGAGAATCGGTCACGGTCTCAAGACTTCAAGAGATCTCCAGGACAAAAGATAAGATGCTGTTTACTGTCAAATCTGATGCTCCGTGTTCCCTACCTCTAGGTACTCGGTCGTTCGGTGTAGATCACAAAGTGACCAAGGTGACACCAACCAACCAGGAACGACCGACTCGGGGTCGGGAGTCGGGGTCGGCCGTCCGAGTCGTAGTGCACCATGCTGTGCCATTAATACAAGCGTGGTAAGGCGGCCGACGATGGGTCCAGAATCTTGCAGGGTGCTTGGCGGCAACTGCTCGCTCTCCTGCCGACTGCGACGTGGTTTTTTTTTTACCGTTTTAGGTTATCATGAGATTCATGAGAGCATGAGAAGGATCAACTGAGCTTTTCTCACACCATTCTTGATCGGGAAGTGGGCATGTGTTGAAGAGACCAACAAGAATCACAATGCAGAATTTCCTTCTGGCCCTCTGCGGCCTGGCAGCCTTACACACTGTGGGCGCTGCAGCTGACGTTGTCAAGGGAAAGGTCTTTGACAGATTCATCACCATTTGGCTGGAGAACCAGGCGAGTTGCCTTTCATGATACGTCCCGTTAACCTATTGGCTGACTCTTCACATAGGACTTCGCCAAGGTTGCGGTTGACAAAAGCATTGCCGACCTGAAGAAGCAGGGCGTCTTGCTCACCAGATACTATGCGCAAACACACCCGAGCCAGCCAAACTATCTCGCTGCCATCGCGGGTGACTATTTCGGACTCAACCATGACAACGAGGTCAGAGTCCCGGAGAATGTGTCAACGGTAGTTGACCTGCTCGATACCCGTGGCATCTCATGGGGCGGATACTTTGAGGACATGCCCGGCCCCGGCTTCATGGGTAACTACAGCGATGGTTCCACGCACAACGGCGGGTGGGATTATGTCCGCAAGCACAAGTAAACCGACACCTTGCACAAGATCCCCCCTCCCCCTCCCCCCTCCCCTCTCTGTTACCATAACACTAACCTCCGTTATCTTTCAGTCCCTTTGTGTCGTTTGACAGCGTCACGGCCAACGGAACGCGTCTGCTCTGCTTGCAGTCCTTTGACGAATTCCACGACGACTTTGTGGCCAAGCGAGTGCCGCAATTTGTGTTTATGTCGCCCAACATGATGCACGACGGACACAACACGTCGCTCGAGACGGCAACCAAATGGTCGCATGAGTTCTTGCAGCCCTTGCTGGACGACAAGGCCTTTGACGAGCGGACGCTCATCCTGCTCACCTTCGATGAGTCCGAGAACTACGAGGAGCCGAACCACATTGTCTCCCTGCTGCTGGGCAATGCCGTCCCCAAGGAGCTCAGGGGCACACAGGACGACACCTTTTACACGCACTACAGCATCCTGTCATCGGTGCAAAACAATTGGGGACTACCCCATCTCGGTAGGTACGACGTCGGAGCCAATGTGTTCCGATTCGCGGCGGAGACGGCCAGGTACGGAGGAAACAGGGACCCGACGAACCTGGCGACACTCAACAACTCGGTGTCGTATCCGGGCTTTCTGCACAACGAGACTTGGCTGCCCATACCGATCCCGAATTGGAGGCTTGGGGGTGCTGGAGGAAAGGGTGCGTTGCCGGCGGTTGAGAAGATCTGGCACGTTGAAGATGGAGTGCCGTGGAATACGCCGTATGATGGGAGTGGGAAGGTGTTTGATGGCGGCAAGAACATGCCTATCTACAAGCCAGCGGTGGCGAACTGAGAGAGTTCTATGGTTTCCCCCACGAGAAGATGCCGAGATATCGCTAGATGGGCTAATGCATGCAGCTAGTCTGGTGTTGCAAGTTTGTGGTTTGAGCAATGCTAGCACGCGACTTCCGTCTTTCATCTTTATATGTCGTGGTGAGCTGCACTTGCCGTTCACGTTGTTGAAGTTGTTGCACCTTCCACAGCGCTGCCGATATCTCGTCGCTGAAGGCAGGCACCCTCTTCCTTGAAACAGCAAAATGAGCAAATAGGGAAAGAGTGATGGTCAACTCAGGTTTTCCATCCCCTCAGTCTCGTCACCGAACCTGACGCTCCTTCCTCTGCCCAATCACAGAACTTGTCCAAAGTCGCACGATGGAGTGAGTTGAACCATGAGAGAATCTCTGTGGCCCCTCCCCACCTTAGCTTTCCCTTCGTTGTCAAGAGGAACAGTCCCTCAGTCCGACCACGACTCCCGGGAAATTGGACGAAGGTAGCATCTACGCCCGTCAACTTCGACTCGACACTCTGTGCAACTGCTTTTGCTTCTCTCTCTATCCGCTTCCCCTCGTTCCCTTCTCCTCCAGTTGTTGAGCTGTTCACCTTCACATCTTTACCTTGACCTGCTCCTCATGGGTCTTGATGGCCCTGTTTTGTCCAACCCATCACAGCGAAAACCACACCACTCCATTTTTGGAAACATTGCAACTTTAGCAAGCCGCAGAACACCAGCAAGGCCACACCCTCATTAGCAGCTAATGATCTGTTGCTCCATCTCGACATAGCAGTCTAGACGATGACGGTCTTCTGCTGTTGTGGGGTACCTCGCCCTCCCAAGACAGCGACGCCGTCAACATTGAGTCCCCAGAACCAGACTCCGAAGCCCTCGGGTGCACTTCCAGCACTTCCTCCTCCTGCTCGCTTACCTGTTGCAGGACCACTTACATCCAACCCAGTCATCGCCATTCCGCTGTCCGCTGACGCCCATCGAGACTCCCCCAGCAAGTCTGGTACATCATTGCAGCTAGCGACATCTTCTGTCATCGTTCCCATTGGGCCAGCCGATTTGAGCGACCTTGTAGTAGAAGATTCCGATGATGACCTACCGGGTAGATCAACCGAGCCCAGCAAGAGTACCAGCACTCTCCAGCTCGTCAAAGAGAATATTCGTCGCCACTTGTCCCAAGACTCGTTGCCAAAGAAAAAGTCTCGCTCAGCCGTTGGTAGCAGTCAGGAGGAAATCCAACGACGGGCCGAGCTGAAGAGACTGATGCACAAAAGGATACAAGAGGAACTCCGTATAGAGCAATCCCACGAGCGCTCTCAGAGTGAGGTCTCGTCTGTGCTGCCACCCCCCAGATCTTCTTCACTTGACTACCTTCCAGGTGGAGGACCTCGTGATGCACTGGAGTTCTCAGTAGCCCAAGAAGAGGAGGAGGCACACCCTGACATGACCTCTTCGACCATTGCAAAGTCCGGTGCCAGTATCTCCCCATCAGGGGCGGTTCCCCCTTCTGACAAGGAAAATAGTCGACCGCGGGCAAACAGTCTCAAATATCCTACAATTGCTTTCAACCAGAAGCCAATTCGAGAACGCAATTCACTTCCGGAAATGCCAGCTTCTCCGGTCTTGGCTCCGCAGCGCTATTCAAATACGATCGACACTTCTTCCCTGGGCTCCTGGAGGCTTTCTTACAGCGCTACTCAGCTCGAAGACTTTCTGAGCTTCATCGATCAAGACGGTTCATCCAAAGACGCCGAGTCCTTCCTCAAAGTAGCAGCTTCGAGGGTAGCTACCTCACGTTCAGCACCGCTTCTACGCCGGTCCAAGTCAGAGACTCGTCCACGCACTTCCCCAGCCCGCACGCCTGGGAATGCAACTCCTTGTGTGTTGGATCAGTCACCAATGGGTATCTGGCTCAGAAGCCAGGGTCTTGGGTCCTGTTCGCCATCAATTTCCCTGGGTAGGACTTCGGATAGAGACGGCGATCCTGAAATAAGCGTAGAGCAGGCCAAAGTGGTCATGCTCAAGAGATGCAGCTCAATCCCCAACCATGCTGGCGGTGACATTGGTCTTCAGCGCCCTGAGATTGTCCATCTTCATGACATGGATATCCATCGACAACTGGTTACACAAACTCTCAACACCCCTGAGGAATCCCCTGCAAATACCGAGTCGGAACAAAACACAGTTCGTAGGTATCCTGTGAGACACGGCAGCTCTGATCAGACAGCTGCATACGAATCTGAAACATCACAGAGGCAGCTCAACGGTCAAGCTGGCCTTATTACCAACCCATCATCGGCATATCCTTCAGCTGGAAATAGCGCCGACCCAAGCGCAGGCAATTCTTCATCGCATCTGCCGTCAGGTGTCATGGGTCCTAATAACTTGTTTGCAGCGACACCACTGAGATGTGAGTAGTCCGCCGTGGACGACTTTTGTTCAGATGCTAATTGATCACAGGGCTCCTTTCGCCCAATCCTTTTAGTGAAAGCCATTCAAACACGGCCACGGGAAGGAACTCGCTTGACAATTCTATTGCTGGAGGCACCGCCACTCAGACGGGGCTGGTCTCTCCCAGCGCGGTATCGAATACCATGAACAAACGGCAGTCGTTACCAAAGCTAAACAAGGTTGAGAGGGGCTTTGCCCGTTTCCATCTAGGACATGGGGCACCGTCCACTATCGCCAAACGGTTCGAGAAAACCACCGAACCCAAGCAACTACGCGCCGAACCTTCGAAGCGCTCATTGCTCGCACGATTGCATTTGAGCCTACCCCGACGAATCAAACTACCCCCGACGGCCTTTGACGGTCAGGTAGATGATGAGCAAGAGGTGCCAGTGCCGTCTACATCACGTCCTGCTGATTCCCGGAGGCATACATTTGACGGTCAGGTAGACGACGAACAAGAAACGGCAGTGCCATCTACATCACGTCCTGCTGATTCCCGGAGGCATAAGAAATCAACGCTCAGTGATGTCGGTCCGCAATCGCTTCGTTCAGGAATCGAGTTTCCGTTCTCCGACTGCGATGATAGCACAGTAGAGCTTTGGCAACGTGCCGTGAGGGAGGAGATCTGCAGGCGCGCTGGAACAAAACGCAGCAACATCCTCTTCTCTTCCTCTGACCTCTTGCTACCAGAGGACCTTCCACCCAAAACTTATTATCCCTATCCATACCCAGGAGCGCGCCCCGGCGGCCAAGACCAAAACAGTCGTACCGCATCCATTTCCACTGAAGTACCTACCAAACCACGCCAAAGTGATCTAGTGCCTAGCAATAGTGTTTCGGATGCCGAAGCTGTGCGCAGGTCGTCGCTTGACAGCCCTGGACCCGAGTCACAGAAGCCTCGAAAGTTTCCTGAGGCATGGGCAAGGTTTCCTTCACACAATCGTGCAGAACGAAATGCGGATCATGGCGACAACGCGGACCCAGTTAGGTCCGCTCCATGGGTTTCTTATAGGCTGCCAACCCAAGAGACTACACAAACCCCTATCACTAGGGACAATCCCAAACGCTACGGTGACGGGGTCATGGGTCATCGACAGAAGAATTCGATGTCAAGCAAACTCGGAAAGGCTCTCAAATCCGGCCTCAACAAGCTTGTTCACTCCCGCAGAGCATCAGATGTTTCATGCGGTGGGTCACATCGCGACCAGGCAAGAGCCACAATGGAATACCCTGAGCTTGCACTCCATCCCACCGAAGCTGGTTATCGAGAGCTCGAAGCATTGGGGCGGGAGATCAGACGCTTGAAGCGGTCGATGTCGGGGGAGTGGGTGGAAGATGGTGAAAGGAATTGGGTAGCCAACGGTGCTGCTTTTGGCGATGATTCTCAAGAGTTCAATACCGCCAGTCAACGGAATTTAACAACACCAGGAACTCTACCCAGAAGTCGTGGAAGGGATTCATCAGCTGCTACCGATAAGTTTGCTACGCCACTCAGCTCTCCCTCTCTCAACGATGCTTCGTTTCACTCCTTTCCGCGCTCGAATTCGCCAGAGTCTAGACGTCAGTCGTCTATCCCCATTTTGACCAAAGCAGCATTGCCAGAGATCAAAATTACCGACATGACTTCGGTCAAGAGCGACACAACCTTGGTGCTAAAAACGCACCAGGTTAGATTTTCTGATGAGAACGGCCAGGGTCAGACTGATTTGGCCACTTCTGGTTCCTCAAAGTACAATACCTGGAGTGGTCCGAATGATTTTCAGACTACCGATGAGGCAAGAGATTCAGATGACAGTGAACATGTGTTTCCTCACAACAACAAGCGGAGATCTCATCCAGAGAACTCGCTGTCAATCCAACAGATAGCCGCCGGCCACGTGTAGGAAAAGGGGAAGGAGTGAAGTATTGCTGGTGCTTATGGTGATCAAGCATATCTTTGCTTTTGATGTTTAATGTCTTATTGGCTGTATCATATGAGGGGATCCCATGGGTTAGGTATTGTGCGGAGGAGAGATTCAAGATGTATGTTTAGTGTTTGATGTTTCTGCAAAAAGTTCGAAGGTTTCAACGAGGCCCATACCAGAGAGGAATGTATTAACCGGGCTGAATCGAGCCTCTAGGACTACATCTCTGCGTTGTATGCTCTCGTTTGTTGCATGGAAGAACGAGTGATGTCAAGCTTTCTCTGTTATTTGGTTGTCTATCAGGTATCGCAATACTTGAAAACAACCATGTTAGTAGAATGAGACATGCTATTCAAGCGATCCTTGGCCTAAAGTCACCATTCACGTATTCAAGAGCCCTTTCATCCTATATCGAACACCAGTGACACTCTTTCACCAGATGCCAGGTGCCAGGCTCCAGCCGTCCGCAGCAGCCGCAGCTCCTTCCTTCCTTCCCTCCGTCTCACACCAGGCACCCGAGGCACCTAACGGGTATATAATTTACCCCATCAGCCTCCCCTTTCACCAACAACCGCTTGGCCGATGACGCAGCCGTCAACCGTCCTAACACCTTGATCCTCAAAACCTCCTCCGAGAAAGATACCTGTCGGTACGGGAACGATGATGTGCTTTAATTTTACATTTTCTACCTCTTACTCTGTTTCCTTGTGTTAACACTATTGCCCCACATCTCAAAGCGATTCATCCTTCCTTCCTGACCTCCTTCCTGGCCTCCTTCTTGGCCTCCTTCCTGGCCTTCTTCTTGGCCTCCTTCCTGGCCTCTTTCCTAGCCTGCTTCCTGGCCTCCAGCAACCCCATCTCCATCCTGCTCCCTCCATCATCAGGTGTAGCACTCATCCGAGGCGGACTAACTGCCACGGTAGCTGACGACCCACTTCTTGAACCTGAACCAGGCGGAGGATCATGGTCATGATTGAACGATTTGGACGACTCGCCGACCTCATCAGCTCCGTACTCCCTGTTAACATGATTCACCACATCGCCAGTACCACCATGCGCAACCTCAGCTTGACTGCCTCCCTCATTGTGGCTCGAGCCGCCACTCAGACTCTTCCTCTCCATCTCCTTTCCCTTCTCCATCTCCCTTCCCTTCTCCATCTCCCTTCCCTTCTCCATCTCCCTTCCCTTCTCCATCTCCCTTCCCTTCTCCATCTCCCTTCCCTTCTCCATCTCCCTTCCCTTCTCCATCTCCCTTCCCTTCTCCATCTCCCCCTTTTCCAAATCTTTCTCATACCCCGTATCCTTCTCATCCCCCTCGTTTCCCTCCTCAATGTCTCCCATCGCCCCCACCACCACCCTCCCCTCCCCCCTCGTCTCCGCCCTCGCCGCTCCCTCACCATAAGCCGAGAACCGAAACCCGGCACCACTTCCTACCCCAGACACCACGCCCGTCCTCCGTCTTCTCTGCTCATCAATCTTCCTCTCCATCTCCTCCCTCCGCTCCCTCAACAACAAACAAAACTTACTACCCCTCCTTATCTTTTCCCCCTGCCAGAGGAAAATAAACGGCATCATCGTCATCAACAAACTCATCCCCCCCAGCAGGGAACACGCCCCCCAGATTCCCAAGCGATGGAACATGGGCGCCGTAGCCAACGGCAATACGGTAGCCAACAGCGAGCGCGAGCAAGAAGCTGCAGCGTTTGCCGACGCCGCAAAGATCTCGTATGCGTCTGTCAGGTAGTTCAACAGAGCTTGGAAGACGCACATGAACCCCATGCCGAAGGGGATACCGCTTAACACGGGCACCCAGAAGGGGATTTCGGCGCGGGCAGTGAACCCCAGCCAGAAGAGACTGACGACAAACATGGGTCCTCCCAGGCAAGCCAGCGGCAGGCGACGGTATTCTTCCTGTCTTGTCCAGGCCGCGTTGCGTTGCCTGGCGCGGGTGAGGATCGAGTCCCAGGTCATGAAGATCGGTAAGGCAATCAGACAGCCGACGCCGATGGCGAGGTAGGTTAACCCGCACTCGCCTGGCGACAAACCGTAAAGGTCGATGAAGATGAAGGGGTAGGCTTCGAAGGTCATGTAGAAGATTGCGTAACACAGGGAGATGTAAGCGCACGAGGTGGAGACGATGGGTTCCATAAGGATCATGCGGATTGGACGGGTCAGGACGATGGAGGTGAGTTCGGAGAGGGAGTGTTGGTTGTCTTCGAGTTCGCGGGGGGCGATGACGCGGGCGTTGGGGTTCGTGGAGCGTAAGTGGCGGGCGCGCTGGAGGAGGAGGATGGGGCCGTAGGTTTCGGGGAGGAAAAGGAAGAGGGGGAGGAGGGTGGCGCCGGCGTACATGAGGCCGATCCAGAAGGCCCAGCGCCAGCCGATGGTGGTGGCGGCGTAGCCGGAGAGGATGGGGGCGATTAGGGGGCCGAAGACTGTCGTCTGTGTGTGGGAGAGGGGGGGTTAGTGGGAGTTGAAGGAGGGAAGGGAAAGCGAGGGGAGGGAAAGGGAAAGGGGGAGAACTAACAGCCATAAAGATCCCCATGCTCCTCCCACGCTTCCTCGGCTCATTGTAAACATCCGCAATAATCCCCGGCACCAGCGCAATCGGCGCACTAGCAAAGATCCCCGAAAACAGCCGAAAGATGATAAAAGAAATCCAATGCGGAGCCAACGCACACGCCAACGTAAACCCAGTAAACATCGCAAACGTCCCTATACTCAGCCTCCGCCGTCCATACTGCTCGCTCAGCGGCGCCCACAAGATCGGTCCCATCACGTACCCTGAATCCGTCAGCTTTTGCGAAAAGTAGGTCAAATAGTGCAAGGCCTCACCGATTAGGTAGATGGAAATCGGAAGCACCTTCTCCTGCTCCGACTCGATCTTCCACTCCTCCACGATAAAGGGGATGGCGTTGCTCGGCAGGGCGCTGCCCATGGAGGAGTTGAGAATCAGCATGACGGCAGTAAACAAAATGGCGGCTTTTTTGCCCGAGGACCAGTTGTACGGGTTTTCTGGGTCGTCTTCCTCCCACGAGATGATGGTGTCTTCGCCGTCGTCGATGAAGCCGAAGCTGGTTATGCTGCTGGCGCGGGGGAGAAGTTGGGAGGGGATCCCTCGTGGCTGCTCAACAGTGGTTGGCTTTTCATGGAAGGAGGAGGATGAAGATCTGGCATGTTCGTCGCTAATGGGGATGGTTGCCGGGTCTGGAGAGCTGGCTGTTCTTGGAGCTGTTGAATCGGTTAGCATAGCGGCTATGTGGATGAGAGAAAGATATGTGAGCTCACCACTTGTGTTGTCCCGCATAGGCAGAGGAGGTGGAGACTCTTCGACGGGTGGATTGGACTCGCCCAAGTGAAAGGGTTGTTCAGAGTTCATTGACTCATAAGAGTAGAAGGACTCGCTCCCGGTACTGTGCCTCTCATCGTCTTCTGAGCTGGATGTTCCGAGATAGAACCTCCCCGGCATTGGAGACTTCCTTCTATGAAGGGGCTCCTCCTTGTCTTTGCTGGACTGTGGTGCGTCATGCCGTTGTAAGAAACCAGAATCGACTCGCTCTTCATATCTCGAAATGCCCTCTTCTGCTTGCGTGGTTTGGGATTGCTGATGGCCATCATCGTCGGGGTAGGGTTGTGACATGGCGAGAGACTATGGAGGTCATCAGACCACCCAATGAAGCGGAGAGGTCGAGGGAGGGGTGTTTGTAGGCGAAGTCGTTCCGATAATGATCAAGGTAAGAACAGGAAAGGGGCCAAGTTCCCAAATATGAACAGGGGACAAGCGACGGAGCAAAAGAGGTGATATACAACGCCATCTTGTTGACTATGACAACAGAATTTGTCAACAAGATATCGAAGCATGTGTTTCCACTTACTTGAAAACTCATAATGAAGAAGAAATATGTCATGCATGCTTGAACAGAAACAGTGTATGCATGACGGGAGGGCGATTTCATGGTGGAAGTGATAATATCCGAGGATATGTAGCGTAATAGTTGGTGCCTTGCTATGGGGAACTAACAAGCCATCAGGCAGTCGACTCTTTTGTAAGACAATCAGTCATTCTACTGTTCCATATGACCAGTGATTTCGTTGAGCGAGGGACGCCCACCTCAAGTCCCCTGGTCGAGCTCTGGGTAACTTCTTTTTTCTGGATGAAGACAAGCATCCCAGCTGGATGGTCAAGGTTGATAGAGGATTGCTGGCGTTGCCGACATGGCGGTAGCCTGTGGCACGAGAGCAGTTGAGTTGGGCATGTGAAAAGGAGGACTTCAGGGGAAACAAACGGGATGATCTTGACGTAAACATGACGTTCGTGATGTACAACCCCATCTATCCCAGCCGCCGAGGAATTGTCTCCAGCCGGAGAATGAGGACGGCGCCGACTCGGTCATCACATAGAGTTCGATGGGGCCTGCGGAGAGAAAGCGTCATTGTGGGTGTTGTATTTTTCAACCGAGTCTTTCCAGAGTATCGTCACTTGGATGTCTGACGGCAACAACCTGGTTCGATGGAGTAGGACTAGGGGGCTTATAATGAATGTCGAGTGATCGATACATATGCAGCTGCAACACTCAGGCGTCAAATCCCGTTCCTGCTTGGGGTACATACCAAAGCGCGTGGGACATGAGGCTTGTGCACCTCGATTCGATTGGTAGCAAGTTCATATTGTGGCATTATGTAGCGGCCTATATAAGAAGTCCATGTGGATCCATTACCTGCTTCAGTCAGTAACAGCACGGGATGAAGCCGTTGTGTTGGCGTGAAATTGCTTACAAGATTTATCGTGTTCCCACTGACAGCCGCTGCCAGTGGAAAAGGATGGCAGAGCCGAGGCGCGGCAACGGGCGGCTTGAGGTATAGGCGCTGCGAGCTGCTTAATGCTTCCTCGGCGTCTGGCCCGCCGATACCGCAGCATGCCTAAAGGGGCTTCCAGTGACATAATATCCGCGCAATAGCCCAGCACTTTTCAGGACGAATGGCCATGTTGTCGACGTGATACAACTTGGTGGCGTGGGCTGCTGATGGGACTGTTGCCAGAGTTGTATACGGAAGGATTATTCACACTCGTCGGAAGTGATGTAGCTTGGGTATATGTTTTCATGTCTCGAGGTTGATTGTCTTTCCAAATCTTGCGTACAAATCCACCTTGAGCCCGGTCATCTCCTTGCGGATGGTCTCAAGCTTGTCTTCGAGGTCTTCGATCTCCTTTTCGAGTTTTGCGGCCGCGATGCCGAGCATCTCCTTGGCTTGTTCGTGGGGAATGTGGAAGAAGGAATCGCCAATCTTGTACCTGTTGTCGGGTCTCAGCAATTGCCTGTCGGGGTGATGATTGGCTTCGCGAACTTACTGGACAAGCTCCTCCTCGTCCTCGACAAGCTCGAGCTCGGTATCCAAGTCGTCGAGTTCCTCCTTCTCCTTGTGCTTGTTCTTGAGCTCTTCCTCGATGCCTAGTTCGCGCTGGTGCAATCGGCTGAACCTGTTGATCTTGTCCTGGTCCTCGCGACGGACCTCGATCTCGTCGCCGGCCGCCTCCTCGTCCTCTTTGCTCAACTATTTGGGGTGGTTAGCGAGGATCGCAATAAGGCAGAAAACATGGTTGACTCGGCCAGCACCTTGCCAATGACTTACCATGCGACGATTCATGGTGCCGGTGGGGTTTGTTGGTGATGTTTGTTGGCGGTAGAGTTGTTGGGCGTTGGCCGACGTGGTGACGAGGGCCCGAAGCGACGTCGAAGCTCCAACCCCACTTGGAATCGATCATGTTCGACGACGCCAGGGCGTACCTCATGGTGGGGTTGCGGCGTTGCTACCCGATTGGCCAGAACCTTTGTGTTAGTGCTAAGTTCTCTGAGAAACGCCAAAACATCAAAACAACACATGGCGACCCGTCGACAACAAGCACTTTTGGCCCGGCCTGTTCAAAGCAGTGATCCGGCAGTTGTGCAGCAAAAATGCCTGGTCAAAAGGCATATCCACGGGCGACAGTCAAGAAGATTGTCAAGGCCCACGCTAACTGCAATGTTAGCAAGAACGTCGATGTCATGGTAAGCGGCACTGTCACAAAAATGCCACTATTCCCAAATCCAACGCGTCGCAAACTAACATGGTATTTGATACAGATCTATCTGGATTATGTTTTATTCATGCAGACGTACGAAACACTTCCAGCTCTGACATGATATTACGCTAACGATCTAACAGCCTCATGAAAGAGGCTACCATCAAAGCCAAGCAAGGGGGTGAACGGGGCATCACAGGTCGGAGTGTCAAGAAGGTCACTGCGGTACGTTCCCTATCCCCACAACCCCCTTTTGACCCCTTTTGTTGACATTTTGCTGCAACAGGACACTCTTGCAAAGTTCAAGGGTTGAGGTCGTAACAGCACACTGGTTACCCCCGCAGTCAGAGCGATTCAGTTGGAGGTGAAGCAAACGGGATAATGACCTATCGGTATTTAATAAGGCATGAGTGCATAGACTTGTACACGTTCCCATTCGTGGACGTGGTGACAACAGTCTCATACATGATATGAATGGAAAAATCAACGTTCATGGCCATTTCAGGCATGACCAGTGGAAAATACCATGGTATGGATATTTACATTTTGTGAAATACAATACTGTACTGACCGCCCCTGTGATGGAGATTCTTGGTGTTTCTGCAGGCTTCTGTGCCTGTCGTCAGTGGGCTCCAGTCGACGGGAAGCCGCCGAGCTGCGGCCAACCCCAGACCCGATGGCAAGGCAGCAAACATACCGCCTCACCCGCCTGTAGCTTCAGGAGGCCCGTTGTGACTCCTCCGCCCAGCCGTCGACCGCCCGCCAAAAGGCATCAACAACTGCCCGTCTCTGGGGTGGTGTGGTGCCGCGGCCCGCCTGGGCGGGATCGGGGTCTCCACTTGGTTGGGGCGGGACCTCTCCTGGCCGGGGAGAGCTCCAAAACTGTCGTGTGTGAACGTCAGCAGCTGAGCTGTCCCGCCCACCCTCCTTCCGCCAAACAACAAAACAAACTCACCACCACTCGATCCATCCTTCGTAAACAACAATTTCTTCTGCCATTCTCCTTTTTCTACCTCTCCATAATAACAACAGAAAGAGACCACCCCAACACGTCGAGGACACCGCTGGTATCACCTCCCCGCATCATCAGTCGAGCAAAGCAACCCCGCAAGGAAGCATCATAACCAAAACACCGTTGGAGCCTTGTCCCCAAGCAAACAAGGCACCTTCACCGCGCAACCACAACAAGCCCCCCCTAAGCTTGAAAGAATCCAAAACACACATAATGGCCCCCGCCGCTGTCCAAAACCCTCCGGTCGCGACCGAGTCCAAGTCGGCCAAGAAGAAGAAGGCCAAGCAGGGCACCGAGTCCCCCGCCCTTGCTACTTCTTCGACCCCAGACAAGCCCGCTTCTCTCGCTGCTGGCAACGAGCCGTCTCAGGAGGGCGACTCGTCCAACCCCCATATCCGTGAGATTCAAAAGTGCGTTCCCCAGCTCTGGCCGCCGTTCTCGTTTCATCCCGTCACCTACTAGCTACTGACACTTCCTCTTCTCTTCTGTAGGGCTATCCGCAATGTCTCCAAGAAGATCGTAGGTCTCCACCCACACCAAAACGTCACCCGGTTGCGCTAGACACTGACATCGTCTTCACAATCTAGACCAATGCTGCCAAGATTGACCATCTGGTAGCCGAGCACGGCAACAAGTCTCTCGACGACCTGGTGGCCCTCAAGATCATCAATGCCGACCAGAAGGCTGCATACCTCAAGAAGCCCGCCCTGCAGGCCCAGCTCTTCCAGCTTGACGAGCAGATTGCTCTCCTCAAGAAGCTTGATGCTGAGCACAAGATCAACCTGACCGAGCAGGAGAAGACCCTTAGCGACAAGTTCGCTCAGGAGAAGGCCGACCTTGTTGCTGAGCTCGAGAAGAAGGCCGAGGCCGATGCCGACAAGAAGCTCCACGACAGCTTGCTCCACCTCTCTCAGTTCCTCCGCCTCGCCGCGGCCCGTCGCGCCGAGGATGCCGACAGCACTGCCGACGAGAATATGGCTCTCGAGGGTGTTCTGCTCCACATCTACTCCGGCGACGAGAATGCTGTTAAGAACATGCTGAAGCTCGTCCAGGGTGCCGAGGAGCAGACTCGCAGCACTACTGGTGAGCTGCTCAAGACTACCTGTAAGCACCTCTCCACTAGCACATGTAGGCCGCCTTCCATACATACTAACTTAACTCCCTCTTCAGTCGCGCAGGTTAAGCAGATCGCTATTGCCTATGCCGCTCCCTTCTCCCAGCCCGCCGCTGAGGAGCCCGTTGCCCAGGCCACCGAGACCGAGGCCCCCGCCGAGACCAAGCCCGCTGAGACTGAGGCTGTCGAGTCCAAGCAGGAGCCCCAGACCGATCTTACTGTTGCCAATGCTGGCCTTACCGAAATCGACGATGGCTCCGCTGTTGCCTTGACCAACGGAAACACCGAAGAGCAGCCTGCTACTGGCGGCGCCCCCGCCCAGACCGATGCCGGCGACAGCACCGCCAACTCTGCTGCTGAGAGTGGCTGGGATGTCTCGGGCTCGGCCGCTGCCTCTGCCGACCTGACTGGCTCCCAGGAGTGGGTTGAGGTCCAGCGCGATCCCGCTGAGACCGAGAAGGGCCTTGAGGCTACCCCTGCCGCGCCTGCCAACACCCAGTCTTGGGCTGACGACCATCCCGAGACTGCCGGCGCCCCTACTGATGCCAACGACGGCTTCCAGTCGGTTCAGCGCAACCGTGGTCCTCAGCAGCAAGGCTATCGCGGCCGTGGCGGCTACCGTGGACGCGGTGATGGTCGTGGCCGTGGCCGTGGCCGTGGCGGTCCTCGTGGTGGTCGTGGAGGCCCTCGCCCTCCTCGCGCGGGTGGTGACGAGCAGCACTAGGAGTGTAATCGTTCCGAGCCTGTCGCGATGGAATCCGGCTGGCCTGTTGAATCTGGCTGGCCTGTTGAAGCTTAACTGTCTTTATTTTCTCGTTTTGATCTCGTCTGGCATCTGTTTATGTGGGCGTATGCGTTTTTGCTCTGGGATCTTGGGCGTTCTCATGATCAAAAAAGTTCATATTGCGCATTAACATGGATTTTGCTTCATTGGTCTGTATTGTACATTAAAAACTGGGCAAGCGCAAAGGGGTTACGGAGAAACGGATGACTAAATGGTGGCCAGCCTTGTTTTTTGTTAGCCCCGACATAACTTGCATGATAACGACAGAGAAAGGATTAAAGAAGGAAAAGAAGGGCGCGTCGCCAGAACGACGCAAGAAAGATGTGGATGTACCATAATGAAGCTGAAGGATGAATTGACGATGGATCTGATGAGGCGTCTGGTTTTGAGCATTGCTGTTGTTTGTGTTTGTGCTTTATGACATGCTGTCGTTATACTAGATCGGGGTGGACAGAACTTGTCAAGTGCTGACGGCATTCCAGTGGTTGCTTTTGAAGTATGCCACACCATACTGACCGGGTCGGAGATAAGCGCGTCTCACCACTTGCACACGCGCCGGCCTTCAGCACGAGGATGATACGCTCTCACGTGATGGGGACCTCGATATGACTTGCATCCCTCCACTCTCTTTCGGGACAAGATCATCGTCGTTAAGCGACCATCCCCCTCCCCCACACCCGAACGGCAGCACGCCGTTGTTTTTTCGCATCTTTCCTGCACCTTTCAGCACAACATCGTTTGACTAGTCGCCGCCAGCAGCGAGATAAAGAAGAATATCGGAGGCCGGGGACTCTTCCCGTAACTCGCCTGTGGTCGAAGGAGCCATCTTTCTCTCAAGAAAAACATTGAGAAGCTTTTCCATTGGCTCCTGTCCAAAATCCCCAGCCATTTCTCAAACGCCCCGAATGCCATGGATCATGCGTCTGGTGGGCGCGGGGAAGGAGAAGATACCCGTCAGATGGCTCCAACAACCGTGTCAGAGATCCCGGAGGCGTCGTGACCACCAATCGACTCGCATGCTTTTTATGTGCATCAAAGAGGTTGCGTCCCGAGAAAGAGGGTGTCCTGGCCTCCTGGATTTTTTGTTTGTGATGTTTTGACATTCAGTCGAACCAAACAATGAGCCAGCCGAGCCAGCTTAAAGCCAAAGATGCCATGGCGAGAGCAGGGTGCGACATGAGGAGCATAAAAGTGCAAGCGCCCGGCCTGGCAACGGGTGATGAGCGGGGATGACGATCAGAGGAAGAAATGCTTGACGCTGTGCTGTGCTGTTTTGTTGGTAAACAATCAAAAGGCTCAGGGCACATTCCTTCGCTTTTCTGTACCGACTTCCTAAGCTCCCCTGGGTGCCTTCTGGCTCCTCGTCCTCTTGTCATTTTCCCGGATTCTTTCGAGTGAGACAGGACAAATGAAGACAAGGGCGCGCACTTACGCAAGAGAAAACTTGAATCGATACAGGCTCGCAGAAGGTGTGTTTTTTACCGTTTTTTATGATGCTTTGCCCCGCCAATGTGGTTCCGAACGGCAAGTCAAACATCAACAAGCTCCTACGGGGGGCTCGATGGTGGCAGGGGTGGCAGGGCTGATCACAACGTGATGTGGTACATACTGTAGCTCTACCGAGAGCACGAGAGGCTCATGACTGACTTGACAGGTTCAAGATGAACATGAGGAAATGAGTGGTCTATCGGCTTTGATTGCTCTGTGTTTCATTCCTGTTTTCTTTTGTGGGCGTTCTGACATTCTTCTATCTCTTCCCCCTTGCTTGACATCTCCAGGATTCAGGTACGCAGTAACCTGTTCATCCAACGGTCCGGGTCAGCCATATCACCAGGTCCATGACCCTCGTCCTCCCTTGAGTTGACTTCTTCTCCAAATCGTCTCACCTGACCTTGTCCTTGACCTTATCGACCTTGGCAACGGCCACTGTTTGCGTCCGTTTGTTTTTCATTCTTCTCCAACTAGTTTACTGTTTTCTTCTTTTTCGGTGACCTAAACGACCGACCCAAAGGACCCAAATATTCGGCCACTGGTTCGGTCCGGTCCGGTACTACCATATCGAGGCCAGTTCAGTCAGCCCATTGATACACCACATCTTATCAATATCACCACCGCATCCTTTACTACACAGTAAACCGCCATCATGAACCACCGAAGCAAAGGCCAACTCATGTGCAGACTCGAAGGATGTCCGCACGAAGTCCTCTTCAAGGCCGTCGACGGAGGAGGCTACGTCGACCCTCTCGAGCGCCGGGCCAGCGGTATCAGAGACAGAAACAACCCTCTGCAGGGCAGAGGGTCGCCGGCTGGTGGGCCGGGAGGGTATGGTCATCAACATCGATATTCGAATGCCGGGGCGTCGACTGTTGCTTCGCCTTTTTGTCAAGCTCGTTAGCCACCCTATTTTTTGTGTGTCAAGATCCGTGCTTCTGCTTCTATCTATTTGTTGCTTAGAAGAGACGTCTTAGTATGTGACATGGAGTTTGAAAACTCGTTCTAACATCTGTGACTGAAAAATAGATACCTGCACCCACTTCTTCAGAGATGACGAGACTTGCACGCAACTGAAGCCGGCGCATGATTCTGTTTGTGCTTATCGTAAGATACACCTTACCTCTAGATACCCTTACCTCTATGCCTGTTTACTACTATTCTACCATCCTCTCTCTCTCTCGGATGAGTTCGTGACTGATTAGCGATGTGATGTGATAGACGCGAGATGTCCCGTTCCCGAGTGCAACCAGGCGAGGCTTCAGTATTTGGATCCCGCCTACGAGTCAAGACATAGCGATACTGGGCCGATGTATCAGAGATGGGAGTATTGTGCTGATCGTGAGTCTTACTGTTGTCCAGAGAGGCTGTTGGACTTGTGTGCTGATGTTGAAGTGGTATAGACAAGTGCACCATCCGAAGGTGTCCTCGTCGAAAACAGTCAGCGAAGGCCATCTACTGCAAGGATCGTAAGTCTTTTATGCTGTTTTCTGGATTGTCTCCAAAAACACACTCGAGAAAGGGCTAACTTGTGGTGTGAGCATGTAGATGGGTGTCAAGCGGATGGTTGTAAGAGCCAGAGACTTGACTCAAAACATAATTGCTGTGAAGAGCGTGAGTGGCAGTCGTCCCCTAGCGTACCACATCTCGGGGTCCATGTCCATGAGGCTGACAACATTCGATTTGTCCAGATCAATGCAAACAAGATGGTTGCGGAACCATAGTCGAGGGGAAATTCTCCTACTGCGCAATTCGTAAGTGTCTTAAGGACCTTATGACCCGGTCTTCTTCTTCAAAGGGAACCGACCATCATTCATCGGCTGACACTCAATCTTTTGCAAAGACATTAAATGCGATATCAGCAACTGCAATAGGGCAAGACACAACGTCTCAGGGACGAAGGACTACCTAAGGTTCTGCACCGATCGTGAGTCTCTCTCCCTCCTCTTTAACCTGCTATCCTTGCTGGTGACCTAAATATTGACCTCCGATTGTCTCTACGTGTGTAGACGCCACTTGCGCAGTAAACCGCTGCACAGACTTGAAGATCGAACAATCCCTCTACTGCGCAAACCATACGTGTAGGGAAAGGGGCTGTAGCAAGAGTAGTCAGTCAAAGCCGTTTTGTAGTGAGCGTGAGTTGTTGTCCTCTCCCCGTCATGAGAACTTTCAAAGTGTTGGGATTGCGACTAACATATGATGATACACAGACTGCTGCGCGGAGGTCAACTGTCGGTCTCCAAGGCCTTGGGCAGCTAGTCCAAATGCGAGGGGGAAGTTCTGTCCGCTGCGTAGGTCACCCCGAAAGTTCGAGACCCTTAAAGATCAGAGATGCTGACGGAGGTACAGACACTTGCCGTGCCCAGGATTGTCCTGAGTTCGTTGACCGCTTAGCCATCTTTTGCAGGACTCGTATGTCTCAGTTCTTCTCGCCCACCACTTTGTACAGCCAGGAACTGAAAGACTGACCACATAACAGACGGTTGCTCCAAACCCAAATGCCATGAAGAAGTCATCGTCGAGGGCTTCTGTCTTGACCGTACGTTCTCCCTATCAACCCCCTTCTACTCCTTCCCCCCCTTCCCCTCCTCTCTCTTATTAACAGAACTAACACCCACACCCTGCCAGACCTCAAAGCGCACTACATTACCCAAGGCGAACTCAAAGCCCGCGGCGGCTCCTCCTCCTCTTCCAAGGACTCATCAACCACCCTCATCACCCGTCCCGGCCCCGGCCCAGTCGCCGCAAATCTTCAACCCCCAAACTTCCCCCGCCGCCTCTCCCAACAATCCATCGCCTCCATCCGTCCCGGTCCCGGCCAACGCCCAACATCCGTCCTCCTCCACGGACACGCTCACGAGATCCTTATTCCACCTGATGAACACCCCGACGAACTCCTCGACAACCACCACAACAACCCGGTTAAATTCTTGGACCACCAACACCAAGCCCACGTCGATGACCCCGACCCTGATCTAGATGACGATGAGGTTGACGACCATCTGCCGAATTTGAATCCAAGTAGTTTGAACAGCCATTTAAGTCACATCAGCCATCACATCAACCAAAGCCACCAAACCCACCGCAGTCAACACAAGCAAGACTATAATAATCCCCATGATATCAAAGAAACAGGCAGTGGTAGAAGTTCCCGATCGAGCGAAGCCGTCTCAGCTCTTTCAGACGGCGGCGATATCGGGGCGGGGGTGAACGGCTCGTTGGTCAATGGAGGCGGAAGTCCAGGAGATCCGCCGGAGTACAGCAAGGTTGCTAGTTCGATCGTGAGTGTTGGACAGGGGCATGATGGCGGGGAGGTGACGAAGACGGGGAATGGGGGTGGAGGTGGTGGAAGGGGAGAGAGGGAGAGGGAGAGGAATAGGAGGGCGGAGAGGGAAGGTACTGGGGGAGGAGTGCCCGGATCTTTTGGGGGGGAAGGACTAGGGAAGGGGGAGGATAGTGATGGGTGGTAGTAGGTGTGTGGAGAATTGTTCGTGGGAGGGTATGAATGATGGAGTATGATCACGATATCATGAGGCGTTCATGGTGGTTGGTTTGGGGTGGTTTATTAATGGATCTAGGGCGGGCTTTTTGCGAGTTATCTATTCGTTGAGCGAGTAGCTAGGTTGATGATACCAAACCACTTCGTTTCGTTCATGTTCTGTCGGATATTAAATCCACGAGGTCCCATACAATGCTCCGACACTTTTGCCCATACTGCTGCCACTACGACACGAGCTGTCGCCCACCTTGGTATCAACGAAGGTACCGGCCATTCCCATCTCCGCTCTCCCACATCCACCCCCATTCTCCCCCTCTCCATTTTCCACTCCTCCCCCCTCCCCAGCCCAATCCTCCTCACGTACCTCCTCAATCACCAGTGTCAACCTCCAAATCAATCTGCACCCCATTACTAACTCCATAGTCCGCCAAGCTGAGTTGATCCTTAAACGGCCTCTCACCCTGCCTCTTCAGCAGGATCTCATGCGGCTCGCGACCGACCCGCATCGCCACCATGACCTTGAACTGCTTGATCGTGTCCGAGGGGAAAGCGGGGATTTGCGCCTTGGTGCCCAGTCGGTCGTTGACGGTTACGATGATCATTTCCTCTCCTCCTCCTCCTCCTGCTGAAGGAGCGGGAGCGGTAGAGGGTTTGTCGTCTTTCTTTTCTTTCTTGGGCCGGTCGGGGCGGTCACGACGAGGGGATCGGTCGCGGTCGCGGCGGGGAGAGCGGTTGTTGCGTCGTGGGGAACGGTCGCGGTCACGGTCGCGGTCGTCTCTTCTCCTTGGTGAACGGTCGCGGTCGCGATCTCGGTCGCCTCTGTAGCTATCGCCCCTGTAGCGATCTCCTCCTCCTCTTTGGTCCCTTTCACGGTCGCGGTCATCTCTCCTGCGTGCTGAACGGTCGCGGTCCCGACCCGAGTCTCTGTCTCTGGTACGATCATCATCCCGATCACGGTTCCTCCTGGGTGAACGATCCCTGTAGCCACGCTGCAGACCGGCGCGGTCTTGGTTGTCATCGTTGCTGGTGCTGGACTTCTGCTTCCATTTAAATCCGCCCGTGTTGATTTTAGGTTTTTGCGATGGTGATCGCGAACGCGACCGTGGTCGGTCCGAGTCTGCCATGATGGCAATTGTGGGGGATTTGGGTTTGTTGATGTAATGGAAGAAAGAGGGACGGTTCAGTTGTAAATAAACGAAGGCAGCAAGGGACCTTCGACTGCTGGCTGGAGACCGCTCCTTGGCTCAGTGACGGAATTTTAGTGGGGCTATTGTGCTTGGCTTGGAGCGATAAGATAAGGAACATAAAATCTAGAATTGGGACGTCAACACCATGGGAAACACACGATGACTAGGGTCAATTCAAGATGAATACAAGATCACTTCGCGATTAACAATGGATTACTGACTGTCAATCGAATTCAAGCTTCAGAAGACGGAGGCTATTTAGGTAGATAGGAATACAAGTTCGGTCCTCCGCCAACCGTTGACAAGAACCGGGCCGCAGCGTATCACCACCGCTGAACCTGTCTCAATGCCCCTTTTTAGATCCAAATGAGAATCGAGATCGCTTTATAAACAACATAAAAACCATATTCTTCTCTAAAACTCAAATCAATGCTCCATCCAGTACGCCGTCACATTGCCCATTACCAACGCCAGAGATCAACCACAAGCCGAAATTTTGCCGGGGAGGTGTATCATACAGACAAACAAACAAGAAGAAGGGAAGACGGAGCGGTAATTAACTCCGAAGATGAGAATTCAAAAAGGAAATCACTCCTTGCTGGACTTCTTCTTCTTCTTCTTGGGCTTCTCCTCTTTCGTTGTCTCTTCCTCCTCGGCCTCAGCCTTGCGCTTGGAGCTCTTGGACTTCTTGGCAGGCTTCTCCTCCTCCTCAGCCTCCTCCTCGACCTCGGCCTTGCCCTTGAAGTCCTTCTTGCTGAGGACCTCGAGGGTGCCGTCTTCCTTGATGCTGATCTGACCGCGCTCGAAGCGGCGCTTGAACTTGTCGGCAGACATGCCAGCGGCCTTGGCGAGACGCTCAAAGTCCTCGTCGTCAAGCTCCTTCTTGGCCTTCTTGTCCTTCTTCTCCTTCTTCTCCTTCTTGTCCTTCTTGGACTTCTTCTCAGAGACATCCTTCATCTCCTCATCCTCATCGGCGGGAGCATCCTTCATCTCAACCTCCTGGATGAGGGGCTTCTTGGGAGCCTCAGCATCAGCGGCCATGCCGTCAGCATCGATGTTGTACTTGCGGGCCTCCTTGATGTCCCACTTGGGGGCAGAAGCGACGGGGATACCGTTGGGGCCGACAGAGACACCCTTGCTGGCAATGGGCTTGCCCTCGAGCTGGCGAAGGTTGTTCTCAAGCTTGGCACGGGAGCGGATACCAAGGTTGGCGCGAGTCTCATCATCGGCATCCTCGGGGAACTCGGCAAGAGCATCGGTACGGACACCAAGAGCGACCTTGGAGGCGAGCTGACGAGCCATCTTACCCTTGTTGGCACCGGAAGCCTGGCCAACGAGAGAAGCGTGGTAGATGAGACCGTACTTGGGAGTGGCGTGCTTCGTCTTGAGGGCACGGAAAAGGGCCTTCTCGGCACCGAGAATCTGGATGGTAGAACCGGGGTTCTTGGCAAGGTTCATGACGGAGCCAGCGTGGGCAATGAGACGAGCACCGACAAGAGCGCCGACGAGCTCGGTCATGTTGGGAGCAATAGCGCGCATGCGGTTCTCGAGGTAGTCAGAGAGCTGCTTGCGGTAGACGGAGTAGTCGATGACGCGCTCAGCGAGGTACTTGATGTTCTGGAGATCCTCCTCGGAAACCTCAGTACCCATGGAAATATCGGCGGCAGCCTTGACGGCAGCCTCAATCTCGTGGGGAAGAATCTCGGACAAATCGGCAGTCGTGGCGTTAGAACGCATGCCCATGGTGACGATGATGCGAGCATAAGAAAGGTTGTCGGGAAGGATCTTGGCCAACTCGGGGAAGTGCCAGCCGTACCATTCCTTGACACGCATGGCGTAGGTGTTGAGCTCCTTGTCAAGCTCGTCGAGGAGCGAGACAGCGTGGACGATCATGACATCGACCTTTTCGGGGGAGAACTTGAGCTTGTGGCGGGAGAGAGAGTGAGAGAGACCGAGGGACATCTCCTTGAAGTTCTCGGGGAGCATGCCAGGAATGAGCTCGGGAAGGTACTGGCGGATGGCACGGAAGAGGTCGGTGGTGGTGGAGTCGGCAATGGGCTGGATGTCGAGGTTGGGGATCTTGTTGATGGCAGCACCGAGCTTGCTCTCGGCAACGGCGAGGGTGACCTTCTTCTCATTACCAATCTCGGCAAGCAGGCTGTTCAGCTTGGGGGTGATCTTGCCCTCAACAACACCAGCGATTTCCTCGAGGGCAGAGGCGGCGCTCTCGAACTTGGCGAACTCCTTGTACTTGATCCTGTAGGGACGCGTGTTGGTCAATTGTTGGATCTTGGGGGCAGGCTGGGAGTTGCCATGATGTGACGAGGCAACTTACTCCTTGGTGATCTTCTCAACGCTGTTGAGACGCTCGGCGAGGTTGTCGTCGGACAGCAGCTTCTTGTCTGCCGCCTTGAACAGGCCATAACTGTAGGGACGTGTTAGACATATGAACTATTATTCGACAGTGTGGTTGAAGTTCGAGACGGAAGACCAGCCGAATTGGACGATTCGAACTTCCTTCGCAAATGCATGGACGAGGCCGTGTGCATGGACGTGAATTGGTGTGATGGCACTTACCCGGCACTGGTTTCTGTTAGGATAAAGAGAGGCATGATTGCGGTTTGGTCTTTGGATCCCGAACGCGCTGTCAATTGTCGTTGGGAAACAGCAAGTGGGTGTGCTGTTTTTGCGATATTCACCAAGAGCCTCGAGGGGAGAAAAAAGTCGAGAGCAAAGAACAATTTTTTTCCACCAGACTTTGGAGCACCCACTTCTGCCCACTCTGCCTGCCCACTGAACGGCGCCCTTTCCCCCAATCAGAGCCCGGTGTGGGGTTGAATAGGCCAAGGTGGCCCAAGCTCGGCTACTGTACGTATCTTTTTCCTGGCAAGTTCTCTCCTTCAACCCTCGCCTCTGGCCGCTCTGAATTGGAGATGCCAAGACCAGCCATGCACGGTCCAACCCTCTCTCTGAAGCGCGGAGAGCGGCGCCCTGTTGCAGCCTTCCCGCGGCCCTGTCGCTGAGAGTGTGCCTGTGACCTCGATGGACAACTGGAGCTCCAACAACGACAAGCATCATCTGTTGTTGTTGAACACTCACTCGCTCGAACATCACCACCTCCAACTCCAACCGCAAACATGGAGGGTCTATTATTCAACGTCAACAATGGGTATGTTTTCCAGTTCCTAATATGCAGATCAAGTGCTGACCATCATCAATAGCTACATTGAGGGTATCGTCCGTGGATACAGGAACAGCCTGTTGACGGGCGCCAACTATACCAACATGACGCAATGCGAGTCGATTGATGGTGAGCCCTCCTCCCATCTCCATCCCCGACCCATAGCACCTCCATCCACATCACCCTAACAACACTGCCCACAGACCTCAAACTCCAACTCGGACCTGCATACGGCGACTTCCTCGCCTCTCTCCCTCCCAAGCCTTCGACCTCCGCTCTCGCCGCCAAGACCACCGACAAGCTGGTGTCCGAGTTCCGCTATGTCCGCGCCAACGCGACCGGCTCCCTGGCCAAGTTCATGGACTACCTCACCTACGGCTACATGATCGACAACGTGGCCCTGCTCATCACGGGCACCCTTCACGAGCGCGACACGCGCGAGCTGCTCGACCGCTGCCACCCGCTCGGCTGGTTCGAGACCATGCCCGTCCTCTGCGTGGCCACCAACATCGAGGAGCTGTACAACAGCGTGCTGATCGAGACCCCGTTGGCCCCTTACTTCAAGGGCAGCCTGTCGCACCAGGACCTGGACGAGCTCAACATCGAGATTGTGCGCAACACGCTGTACAAGAACTACCTGGAGGATTTCTACCACTTTGTCAACACCCACCCCGATATGGCCGGGACCCCGACTGCTGAGGTCATGACGGAGTTGCTGGAGTTTGAGGCGGATAGGCGGGCTATCAACATCACTCTAAACTCGTTCGGCACCGAGCTGTCCAAGGCGGACCGTAAGAAGCTCTATCCTAACTTTGGGCAGCTGTATCCGGAGGGGACGCTCATGTTGTCGCGGGCGGATGATTTTGAAGGCGTGAGACTGGCTGTTGAGGGTGTGGCTGATTACAAGTCCTTCTTCGATGCTGCTGGTCTCGGAGGCGGTCCTAGCGGTCCCGGTAACATGGGTGGTGGCGGAAGTGAGGGCAAGAGTCTGGAAGACATGTTCTACCAGAAGGAGATGGAGATCTCCAAGGGCGCCTTCACAAGGCAGTTTACCTATGGCATAGTGTATGCGTGGGTTAAGTTGAGGGAGCAGGTGAGTTCAGAGTTTTCCCCGTTGTCGGTTGAAAACCTGGTGACTAACGCGATATTCAGGAAATCCGCAACATCACTTGGATCGCCGAGTGCATAGCGCAGAAGCAGAAGGAGAGGATCAACAACTACATTAGCGTTTTCTAAAGGACAGTCAGTTGTCGTAATGAGGTTTGATTTTTAGGTTGCATTTTTATCAGAGGAACCTCGTCCTCCCCCTATGTTTTCCTTGAGCCGGGGTTGTTAGTCTGCATGTTATCAATGATCAAGAAATGGGAAGGGGAGAAAAGGCGTATTGGGCGCGAATGGCCAAAGTATTATATCTGGACTCTTGAGGAACACAAAGGGGGGTATCATCATCAGCATTGCCCTGCCCCCGCGTGCGCCCCTGGTTTTCTCCGGTTATTGTTTATTGTTGTATTGTACATAGAGAAGGCCTCTTTGTTTTGTTACACACGCTTTCCTGCTACAACTGGGAATCACATCTTCTTCCACTCACTCACACACAAACACACACGACAACCGACCGGGTGCGTTGAATGTATTAGAGGGTGATCTGACCCTTCCAGGTGGCGGGCGTCAGACCCAGAGTCTCGAGCATGTGATGCCACCTTCCACTGCCTCTCTCCTTGCGCTCCATGTAGCTCAGCAGCCTCTGGCGCTTGTGGCACAGCCTCCGCAAACTGCGCTTGTTGTTCTTGTCTCTGTTGCCGCCGTGGCCCTCGAGCGCCTTGGTGAGCGCCCTGATCTTGGACGTCAGGATGGCGATCTGCACCTCACTGCTGCCCGTGTCCGGGCCTGCCCGCACCGGCTGGGGCTTTGGCTCCACTCCGCGCGCCAGCGGCGGCGTCGGCCTCTCGACGGTGTGATCTGTGTTGTGGCGACCAAAGGTCTCGATGCAGCGGCGAATGTTGGCGTGTTTGCGGTCCTTGGCACCACCATGCTCAAGCTTCGCGATACGCTCGAGGGCGGCGACGGCCTTGGCGTGTCTGGCGGCGTGCTCGCGAGCCTCCTCGTCCTCCTTCTCCGGGTCGGCCGTCGACCGGTCCTCGGCCTTGATGGGCTTCAAGATGTGTTCGGCGTACTGGATGGCGCTGTCGAACTCGTCCTTGTTGAGCAGGTAGTTCCGTAGGTGCGGCGAGGTCGGGAGGGGCTTGGGTTCCTCAACCACCTGGCCGTCGGGACCGGCCTTGGGCGCCGAGACGGGGGCCTGGCCGGCGCTGTCGAAGGACTCGACGAAGGGGGTCGTGATGCCCTTGACCGGGTCGCCCCATGCGGCGTCGCGTTCGGCCTGGAGCTCCGCCTGGCGCTTGACGTTGACGGCCTTGCGCTGTTGCGCCTGGGCCCAGCCGTAAGGGTCCTGCTTCATTTTACGCTTCTTTTCTTTCTGGGAGATGTTGGCGGTTTGGATGAGAGGTTGCAGGGCCTGCGCCGGAGAGGCGACGGCGGGGCGGAGACATACTGTCGTTTCCGCAGCAACATGTCAGTACGTTATGTTGGCGGGGGACATCATGGAGAGGAACAACAAGAGACACAGGAGAAAAGTTTATAAGGTAATAAGAGCTCACGTACGTGTGAGGCTGCGAAGCCCTTGAGGGCCAGGTAGCCTGGGAGGCATGGTGGTTGGGTGTGGTGGTGGTGGTGGAGGTGCACCGGCGTGGTCGGTCTCGAGGTGCAAGTCGGCGCAACAACTTTCTTCAAGTCTCGCAGCTTGGCCCGGCGGTCCCTCCTCGTCCCTCCAGGTCACGCTCCGGCCGATGTTGAACAACTTCCCGTGTCGGTCCGCACCTGGACCAAATTTTGGGTTCCAATTGCGCTAGGCTGGGATCAGGCTAGCTCATCTCTGGATTTGGGGCTGCGAACCGTGAAGTGGAGTGGCTCATCGGCCATTCTAAAGTCCGACCACCCAGAGTGAAGCAAACCGTGGGATTCAGAAAAGACATTGCGTCAAAGTCGAGATCTGGTGGGGCCGAGCTTCTTCATAGCTGTTGATTGGGTGCAGCGCCTTCGTCAAGATGAAGAGTACGTACCGTGTCCCAAAGGCTTGGCACGGTCAACTGTCAACCAACTGCACAGCCCTGGCGGGGCAGTCGGCGCACTCGCGGCACTCCACAAAATTGAATTTGTGTGCGAAAATCAGAGGAAGAAGCTCGGACGTCCCGCGCCTTGGCTGGCCTGGTTGAATTAGAAGAAAAATATATTCAACCTCCACGCCGTCTTCCTGACACCTCCTCAGTCCTCACACCGCAAGGCCAGAGATCAGTCAAGATGGCGCCCGCTAACCTCCCCTCCATCTTCAATGCCACGAGCACCGATATTGAGCAGCTCCTTGCTGCTCAGTGCCACATCGGCTCCAAGAAGTGCGTTTTTGCGAAATCCACCTCGCCGGCGACATGGCCGAGAAGAAGAGATCACGAAATGCTGACTTTGTGCGATTGCGAATAGCCTCGGTGTTCACATGCAGCGTATGCACTCCTCCCTCGAAATATCCACACTTGTCGAAACAACGCCTTGCGACAAATCCCTGACCTGACTTCTCTCTGCAGCTTACCTCTGGAAGACTCGCGCCGACGGTGTCAACATCCTGAACGTTGGCAAGACCTGGTATGTGGAGGATCGATCGCACGAGTGGATGGTGACCAAGTGGAGGAGGATACTTGGTCACCGTGATACCTCAAACAAAGGCCACAATGGCTGACAGTGCTGGCTCACCACAGGGAGAAGATCGTCCTTGCTGCCCGCATCATCGCCGCCATCGACAACCCGTCCGACATCTGCGTTATCTCTGCCCGTCCCTACGGTCAGCGTGCCGTCCTGAAGTTCGCCGCCCACACCGGTGCTCAGGCCATCGCCGGTCGCTTCACCCCCGGTTCCTTCACCAACTACATCACCCGCTCTTTCAAGGAGCCCCGCCTCATCATCGTCACCGACCCCCGCACTGATGCCCAGGCCATCAAGGAGGCTTCCTACGTCAACATCCCCGTCATTGCCCTCTGCGATGCCGACTCGCCCACCGAGTACGTCGATGTTGCCATCCCCACCAACAACAAGGGTCGCCACGCCATCGGCTGCGTCTGGTGGATGCTTGCCCGTGAGGTCCTCCGCCTCCGCGGTACCATCTACAACCGCGAGACCCCCTGGGACGTCATGGTCGATCTCTACTTCTGTATGTATCCCCCGCAGCCCCCGTGACCGTTTGTGGGACAATGTCTCTAACTATTAACCTACAGACCGCGACCCCGAGGCTGAGGCCGAGGAGAAGGTTGAGGAGGAGAAGCTCCCCGGTGTTGAGGAGGAGGGTGTTGCCGCCATTGAGTCCGGCTTCCCCGCCACTGGTGACTGGGAGGCTGCCCCCGCTGGCTTCCCCGCCACCGGTGAGTGGTCCGATGCCGCTCCCGGTGCCGCTGCCCCCAACTGGGACGCTACTGCCCCTGCCACCACTGCTGACTGGTCCGCCACCGAGGCCAAGGAGTCCAGCTGGTAAACAGTTGTAATCGAAAAAACACATTCGGTTTCTGGGTCAAGAATGGCGTAATGGAGGCGTGATGGAGACTGGACTTGTGGCTTGAACCTCGCCCACCGATTTCCAACACGAATTGATCATGAATACCCCCAACAATGGAATCTGGCTCTGGCTTCTTGCAAACCGCTTATCCCCTGGCAATGGGTCAAATTTGACCGCACTAATGAGGGAAAGATACTCGATCTGGCGCCATCTACTCTTGTATATGCTGTCTGGAGAGAGGGAATGCCCTGTGGGGTCAAAAGGGGTGGACTTAATCGTTATCCCGCCCTTGCCATGTGGTGCGATTTGTGAAGTTTGGGGATCTTAAAACAGATGAGATTTGCTCCGAATGGATACGTCCCGACCCTACTGTGTGCTTCCCTCCTGTGATATGATGACCTTGGCCGTATTCCAGATCCCCTTGTCTCGGATTATGTAATCATGGCCCTACGAGATTGTCCAAAGTAAACAAACCATTCAGGGGCTGCGACTTTCAACCTAGGAATGGCCCATGTTCTTGACTGGCCTTTGTGAGATGTATGGCCTGACCTTTGGATGGTGCGTTATCCCTTTATAGTTGCTTTCTCCAGCATACGACGGCAAACGTTAATGACCTTTAAACAGCTTCGCCCAACATGGGTAGGGCATTGCGGCTCTGTCCATGAAGCTGGCAAGATGATGCTCATGACCGAAAAAAACCCGCTGGAGGATTCAAGAGATGACGGCGAATTATTGTATCAAAAGGGCTGTTCGTAGTTGCGACAGCATCGTCTCGAATCTACCTCCTTATCGCCTCCTCTTGGCACCACTGTACATACGAGGTGCATTCAGCATGGTGGAAGCATGCCAGGGATGAGTGAAGAAGGTTCACGCCTTGATGACTTCTTCCCGAGGTATCTCGTTCCAGAAATGTCTTTCCGATCAACAGTATTCGATGCATTATGGACTATCGCGGCACTTTCGTCGATAATGTCAGTTCCTGCTGGAACTTGCTGGTCACTCGCCATCCGTCCACGGCACCGCCATATATGTTGCACCTAGGTTGGCCCAATACAGGTGCTTGGAAAGTCGCTCATCACTCACTCGGCATCGGAGGGTGGCATCATTGCAGTCATTACCTCTGTCAACATGAGCCCCTTCCTTCCTCACGACGTGCTCTACCAAGTAAGCAACTCCCTGCCCTTCCTTCCTGTCATTGCTCTTGGGAAGGAGCATATGGCTATTCCAAATGAGGGGTACAACTTCTGGGATTTGGCGGAAGGTCTACTTCGTACTTCCTGTTCTCCTCAATCAACTTACCATCAACTTTCGAACCATTTTTTGAGATTGTCGGCTCCAGCACCAGCCACTCTCCCAATTCCCGAATGCTTCCAATATCTTGCCCGTCTTCTCTATATTGCCTCGTCCATGACCGAAAATTTGAGACCTTATCGCTCATGGGTGATGGGCACAAGGTCTTCCGCTTTTTTGTTAGGGACGAGATCGCTAACACCGCAGCTCCTTTCAGGTCATCCACCACTTCTGCCTCCTCCATCTTCCTTCCGGAGGCAATCACTCTCTCATTGATCCCTCCGTCCAACAACTTCTGCAGTTGCGTCTCATCTCCCGCGCCTTCTACCACGCCGCCACGCCGCACATCCTCAAGCACGTTCCGTTGACCTTTGATGAAGAAATTGACCGCTGGCCACAGTCTTTACGGTTTTGGTCTAGTGAAGAGACGAAGCACTTGAGGGCGAGGTTGAGGAAGCTGAAAGTTGTTGTGCGGAGCCGTCGGATTGCAATCGAATGCCTTGTCGAAGATAACACCCCACCGGATCAAGCGCTGGCTCTTTCTGCTACCAAGGAGCGTCAACTACGAACTTGTACGACGGAGTTGATGGAGAAGCTCGAACTACCTATGGTTGGCCTACCCAGTCTGAGGGAGTTGAGTCTTAGCGTTGACGAATCCATCACCGTCCATAATGACGACTTCATTGTCAACAGAACCGTGCCCAACCTTGTGCTCAGAACCGCCAGGGGTTTTAGGTGCGCCTTGAGCGACGGGAGGCTTGACCACTTGACCAGCCTGAGGGTGGAGGCGACTGCCAACCAGCTTGCGGAGATTGTGTTGAGCGCGGCAAGATCGAAGCGGCTTTGCACGAACTTGAAATCGCTTCATTGCCTTCTGCGAGAGTGGACTGGCGATGGGGAGGTTATGGAAGAAATCTTGTCCGATGATGCGGTCCCGGACTTGGTGAAGCTGTGCCCCAACCTGCAAGAACTTATTGCTTTTGGGGTGCTCGCGAAGCTGCGGCTTCATCCGGAAAACAAAGGCCTAGACAAGCTGATCTTGTGCAATATTTGTATCCCTTGGAAGCCGTTCGAATGGCTGAAGAATCTGGTGGCGAGGAATACGTCAGTGGAACTCATAGATATCCACTTCCGGGACTACCTTGGTTGGTGATAATATGCCCCTTTTAACATTCATCTAGCTATTCAAGCTACAAGGGATCATGACTAACCTATGTATAATGCCCACGTAACAGGAACTTCCGAATACAAGACCTTACAAAAAAAGCTACACTGCTACAGCTTACAGGTCATGGAAGGAGTTAAGCTCGTCTTCCCAGAGCCTCTTGAGTTATAGCAAAGGAGACCCACATCACTTCTGCCGAAAGCCCTTTTGCCGATAAAGAAGAGAAGAGGGGAGTAGCTGGTTGATGATTCCCTTCGGAGGAATCACGGGTCGTTGTTTTCGATTGCAAAGGTGGGATAAGTTGATGATTGTGAGTCAGACCTTGCATATTCCCAGACTCCTAATGAGAAAGATCATGTTGGCACTTCTGGAAAAATGTCACTTTTAACTTTTTGACATGGTGTCTTGACTTGTTCTTTAGACTTGATGACCCTTCTCTTGCTTCGCGTTATCTTTTTGCTTCTACAACCAACACTGAGTTGCTCGTGGTATTAGTCTTAAGCTATTATGTGTGGGGGGGTTCTTTCTCCTTCTGTTTCGTAAGCGGCCATTGAGTGGATTCTACATGTCCTTTCCAGTCTGGGAGGGAGTTCCGCATATTTGAGGACGAGTGTCAGCCCTCTTGACTTGGGGCTCTCCGAAGAGTCATCACTCGGTTACAGTACTTCTCTCCACCATGGACCGACTTCCATATGATGTGATTTACCAAGTAAGTTGAAGCCTTCAGTCATCCACCCTTTATTGAGCTAACAGGAGTATGCCGATCTAACACAGATCATTGCAGAGTTCTGTAAATTATCTCTCTCATATTCGTCCGATGCAGAGTATACCAAAGCGCCACACTCATGGTTTCAAACAAAATGGGTCTCTAGGTCCAGTCTCGATCTCGTCCAACAGCTCCCCCAACTCCGGCTTGTCTGCAGAGCCTTCGCCCACCCAGTGCTGGTACACATGACCAAGCACATCCCCTTGACATTCGACAAACCTGAACGCTGGCTGAGGATGGTCGACTACTGGAACGACGAAAATAACCGTGGCATGATGAACCGCATCGAAAAGCTCTCGATAACCTTCAACAACTGGGAGTTTGTTAATTACTGCAAGGAGACAGCAGAGAGAGACAATAAAGCGAAACAGCAGCAGCAAGACCTTCACATCCTCCGCACTCGCTCCGGATCCGCGTATAAGCGCCAGCATCAGAACCGAAACCAGCATGGTCAGCAGCAGGAGCAGGCCACCGAACAACGACTTCGCGCCGCCATACGCCATCTCACCGACAACCTCAGCATCAACTACACAATGCGGCTGAAACAGATAAACATCAACTTAAGCTGCCTGTGGCCCGAATTCGGTTACAGGAAGGGCCCCAACTTCAAGCTCTGGAAGGGAGCCTGCGCACTTCTCCAGGGCCTCGAGCAAGTCTTTCGTTGCGGCTTCGACGGTAATTTAACCACCTTGCACATCACAGCCCCGGAGAATGACTTGGTCTCGCTGCTGTGCACCGCATTCGAAGCCGTGCCGAGGCCGGATCAGAAAAGACTGTGTGCGAACCTAGAAGAGTTCAGTGGCAGGTATACCCACGACATGGACAAGCTGAGGCAGCTGCCGTGGAAGGTTAACTTGAAAGTTGATGATGCCAAAGTTGTTGGAGCTGATGGGGTGGTTACTCGGATTCCAGGTGAGAGGGAGGTGGAAGTGAAGAGCGGTCAAGAGGCGATTGAGATGTTTGTCGCGAGGTGTCCGAAGCTGAAGAGGCTGGAGGTTTGGCGTCCGCGAGAGCTGCACTTGAGATTGCATCCGTTAGCAGCAAAGCGGGGCCTGGAGGTGTTGAGTGTGACAGAAACTTATATGATCATGGGGCCGATAAGCCTTGAGATGTTGTTGGAGAAGCTGGCGACGGAAAAGACGGAGATTCAGCTTAGGGATGTGACTGCGATTGTGCGTCCACCGGGGGGTTTGGTTCGAAGGCCGTTGAGACCGGATGGTAAGTTCTCGGGTTTCTTTTCTTCTGCCGTTCTTCTTCTCAATGCACCAACGACGGAGTCTCTCTAGAGATCTTGGTTATAGATCTGTTTGAATGCCCTGTTTACCCGATATATGGACACCATAGCTAACGCGGAATCCCACCCGACAGTAGATAGTCAAAACTGGTGTCTTGCTCTACAAGAAAAGACCGGGTGCCGCAGCGTGAAGGTTTTTCAGGGTCAAGACATGGTCCTGGAGGTTTTTAAGGCTGACGATAGGGTCATAGTAAGGAGCAAATGCCAGAATCTGGATGCACGGCCAAGCATCGCTTAGTTTGGACAGTAGGTCGCACTCATGGACAAGGTGGAAGACTGACATCAGAATGCTACCGGAGGGGATATGAGGGCTGGAACTAGGTAGAGAGCAAAGTAATACATACAATCTAATGCTGGTGTGTTTGTTAGTTTGATACTCCTGCTATTTTGGACGAGATTTATCCCGAGCTATCCTGAACCTTGCAAGGACGTATTGAAATGGTTAATTAAGTACGAATCGAAAATGCATTAACAAGATTTAATATGATATATTCAGTACTAGAATTGGGATATTCGAAGACCGATCAGACTTTAATTATGAATTGACACGCATGAACAGGGTCTGAAAACACCTGAGAATATTGACCTAGGTTTCGAGCTAACAAACAAACCAGCATTGGACTGTACAGCAAAGCAAGCCTGTGAAACAAAAGAGTGCCGTGAAAAGTAGAAAGGAAAAAAAAAAAAAAAAAAAAAAAAGGGCAAGACTCAACCGCCGTTGAACGCATTACCTCCCGCTCATCTACCAACTATCCTCAAGCTGGTTGCCTAGAGGTAAAATCCTTTCCATAATGTCAATTGTCTACTCATACATGCCTTTTCCTTTCCTTCCCATGCCATTTCAAATGCTCCAAATGGCTCTGCTAAATAGCAAGAGGTCTTTAAGAGAAAATTTAATCCCTGATGCCGCGTCCGTAAGCCATGAAAGCAATTAATCCTGCTCAACCCGTCCCCTTTTCATCTCCCTCCGGGGAAGGTACAAAAAGGTACAAAAAAAGACCAACAACCGCTCGTTCGAGTGGCATTTCAACGAACCATCGAAACACCTCAAACTATTTTGATTTTGTCGTTTATTTATATATTGGTAATCGATTACCTTCTTCTGTCGCTGCTCATACCTACAGATCCTAGCCAACGGACGCGGTCTACGATGTGGAACGCTCTTTGGGTTATTTGAATGTACATTATCGTTCCCGAACCGGTAGGTATCTTTTTCGGGGGTTGGTTTGCGGTGTTAGGACGGTTAACCGTTACGCCACTCGACCAAGCGGTTGTTGGTGACAGAAGGTGCCAAGGAGGTGAATTAAATACTCGTTAGGCGGTCTGTTCTGGTATGAGATGGAAGTGGAAGGGAGGAAGGAAGGAGCAGCGGCCCGGGTAGGTGCGGCAAATTTGCTGGAACCCGGTGCCTGGACAATGTGGTGGGTGTACTTGGTATGATGGGTAAATTCAATAGGCGGGGTGAGTACCGAACTTTACACACCCGGAATAGTCGTAAGAATAAACCGAATATAATACGATTAGTATATTATATATCCTAGCGTATTTAATATACCTTTGAGTTTAAATTCGAGGCATTCTCTAAAGGGAAGAATCCCTAAGTGATTCTAGCCGATGTGTTTTCAAATTATTGTGATCCCTATCACAGTTTTGTAACGGCCTTTTCTAGCCAAAGCGAGCCGTATTAGACTATCCATATTCGGTTTATTTTTACGCCCACCTCGACAACCCCGAAATTTTGGCCGTGGTAGTCCGTGCCAGATACCTGACAGGGGGGGTTTTCTTTTGCTCGGAACCACAGTAGGATATGGAAAGTGCTCCCGTATGCTGGAGATCTCGATTGTCCAAAGCATCGACATCCTACAGAGAGAAGGAGCAAGAGGCCAGGCGGTTGGAGGCGATTTTCAGGCACGACAAGAGACACCTTGCAAGTCAGGACTTCCTCCGCCTGATCCATTTTCTTCTCGATCATTCAAGCAACTCAACTGATTCGACCATTTCATTGAACTTGCAAACATCCACCCTTCTCCCCTTCTTCAAGGTTAGTTTCTTCAAGTTCGGCCGCTTTGACGAGAAGTGAATAAATCTCCACTCTAGTTTCTCTTCGCTGCCCGAATTATCACCATTCCTGCGTCTGATACTGGCACTTACTTTCGTCGGGTTCCTTCCATTACTTGAGTACAATGGTGTCTCCTAGCGAGACATGCCCATATAACTTCAGCGTAAGCATGTCCCTCTTCCAGTCCCCGCGGTTACCGACACCTCGCCCAAGTCAACCTCTCGCCTAGTCAACACTCACTAGCACTTATCAAGATGCTAGCCCGAAGAGAGAAGAAGATCACCTCTTTGCAAGAAAGCAGAAAGAAGAAAAAGAGAAACAAATATCACATGGTTGGACCGAAAAGAAAAAGGCATGCCAACCGTGAGAAAGGCGGAGAAGTCGTTGCGGCCTCTGAAGTGCCGCCAGAACCGCAGCCAGAGCTACAGCCAGAGCCACATCCAGAGCCAGAGCCACATCCAGAGCCAGAGCTACAGCCAAGTACGGGTATCACGTTTGATCGGCTTCCTTACGATGTCATTTACATGGTCAGTCAGAAGTTCCTCGTCTTTTGTCACTGTCTTTACCAATGTTCCAGTAACTCACTCCCATTCCAAAACAGATCATCTCGGAATTCTGCGCCGACCTCCCTCCACCGAGCGAACACTTGCCCACCTCCGCCCCCCTTTCCCTCCGCCCTCCAAAGGGTAAATCCGGGAAATTCTATTCTAAGTCTACTCACCGCCAACTCCTCAAACTACCTCTCGTCAGCCGAACCTTCTACCACGCAGCTCAAGCGCATATCTTCAGACACATCCCTCTCATACTTCACCGTGATCCCCAACACTGGTCCAGTTGCCTCGACTTCTGGGACAATGAGTCCAACCGCGCCGTCATGAACCGTATCCAAAGTCTTCGTATCGTCTTTGATATGGATGAGCTCGGCAGAAATTGTGAAATATATGGGAGGCCCAGCAAGAAGTCGGGAGTAGGACTGGAGTGGGGTGAGGTGGGAATCAGGGGTAATCAGCTCATGTGGGAAATGGAACGGTTTGGAGAAAAGCTAGCAATGCCCATGGCGGGCTTGCCAGCCTTGAGGGAGCTGGATATTCGGATAGACACCCATTCGAATGGCCCCATCATCCCCATACTTCCAGCCATTTTAGGTCGGTTAATGACGGACTTGCGAGAGGCATTCGAGTTTGGCCACTTCAACGGCCTGACTAGTCTGAGGTTGACGGCTGCTACCAACGATTTGGTCCCGCTTTTGCGTAGCGTATCGACCTCGGAGATTTGCTCAAGTCTTCGATCATTCTATTGCAAACGGCGGCCTGAGGAGCTTGTCCAATACCCCAGATATTTCCCGGAGACTCCGGGGAAAAAGACAGTTTACATCGATGGGCAATTCAAAGCTCGGGAATCTGGTTCGAAACAATTGCTAGCTGGCCTTGTTTGGAGGTGCCCCAAACTTAGAGATCTTACAATTCCCGAGTGGGCCCTGTTCAGCAGGGCATTGAGGCTGCATCCGGAGAACATCGGTCTGGAGAGGTTGGCTGTGTTAGGAACTGATATCGTTCCAGTTCCACGGGCTAAACCGACTGAAGATATCAACTCTATGAAGAGGTTGACCCGCAGAGGGGTGGTCAATCTAGAATTACATGGCGGAAAACTTCCGACATCGAAGGCTCATCTTGGTAAGTTTTGAGAAACTTCACGTCTCTGAGAGTCCCAACAAATGTTTGTGTTGGCGTAGAGTCAACTAGAGTGGCTAAAATGGAAGCTGACGCAAAACATCACCACTTTTTAGTGAGATTCGTCTACTTAGAAAACGCGCTAGGACGCAAGCTGAAAGTGTTTGGAGATGGCGTTCAATGCTACCCTAAACCAAAGGGCAACGGACGTCGCAAGCGTGGTACAAAATAGGGAAAATGAGTACCTCTACGGAAACACGTTGATGTCCAGTGTGCTTTCTCTTTATTGCAGTCATCAATGCCCCCTAAAGAGAACAAGAACTACCTATCACTTACACAATTCTTTCGGAATGACTGCATACAGTACAATACTGGTTTGTTTGTTAGCTCGAGACCTCTGGTCAACTTTCCTAGGCGTTTATTTATCTAATTAATCCGTTTCCTTCCACAACCAAAGCGTGATCTTACCTTACATATACTATTTTGAAAATTTGATACGCCATATTGAATCTTGTTAATGCCTTTCCGATCCGTACCTAGCCATTTATTTTATCTTTGTGAGGTTTGGGACAATTCGGGATAGATCTCGTCCAATATACCAGGAGTACCAAGCTAACAAACAAACCAGCATTAGATTGTACTATGAATCGACGAATGATGCATTGCGGTTTTATCAAGCTTTGCTACCTAGGAAGTTCATTCACATGTTCGACAAAGGTTGTTCGGTAAGGTAAGTAGGTAAATTCATATCTCAGAGGGAGAAAATGTCGAGTGTCACTCGTGCTGTGTTTGGCCTTTTCGTGTTCTTGCTTCTCGCTTGTGTCATACCTGGTGGTACGAACTACAAACCAAGATGCCATACCAGAGACACCCAAAAACCCTTGGATGTAGCTTGTACACTCTCGGCAATTCTAGATTCGGAGATAACTTCAGTTACAGTCTACTCAAGTTCACAGTCCTTCTTGAAGATTCGGATAAGGTAGCAATTGGTAGTTCTTGGCCCCTTTGGTGAGCGTTGATGACTGTGAGCCGGGGGAAAGATACCAACTATTATTGTCTTCCTCTCTTCATTCTTTCCGTATATTCCCCAAGTGCGGCCGTCTTTCTCTCTGTTTTGTTATTTCCGACTGTACTCTGCAAAGAAGGTGCATATGAACAAGCCCGGTGGCTTTCCGGCGGCGAAAGAAGCCGCCTTGTCTCGCCGTGCTTTCAGTCAGTCTTTGCTTGTAGTCCACTCGCTTCTAGGCCATACATACATACTTTATCCCAAACGCCAGTTCCAGAAGATTTGAGTTTGCTTCTTATGCCTAGGTACACCTTAGGCACCGTTATCTAGCAAGTTGAATCCATCAATACCTCTATATGGTTCCATACTTCCAGCATGTCATCCCACCCCGGAGTGTTCTGGTTCCTTCGCTCCGCACGAATTAACCCCCATATAAAACCCAGTCTCAATTGTCTTCTAACCGCTCGCTCGCTCACTCTCCCTCCCGCCCATCCTGACAATTCAGCTCTAAAAATCCGAAAAAAAAATTCTCACACACTTCCCTCCTACACCTTTCTTCGATTATTCCATATCTCCATCAGCCCCGGAAGCCTACCCACCCCGTCCTCCTTAACCCCAGTACCGAACCGACCAAGTCAAAATGCCACCCCGAACCCGAACACTAGCAGAAAATCTTGACGCCATCTCCCTGGACGACGACGAGAGCAAGAGCAAGAACAAGGACAACAACGACAAGAAGAAGAAAAGGAAGAAAAACAAATACCCCATGCTAGGACCAAAGAAGAAGAGGAGGAAAAGGCGCTGCTGCCCCGAACTTGGGAAGAAGCATGAAAAAGTACCACTGCCACTGCCACCAACGAACCCACCATCGCCCCCGGAACTACCAGAAGAACCGAACTCTATAAAACCGGAGCCATCATCAGAATCCGACTCATTAGAACAGCAGTTATTACAACTCGAGTTAGCAACAAGCTATGGGATATCAGCACAGGAGCACGAGGCATCATCAGGATTATCGGAACCCGAGCCCAAGCTACTGGGGCCCGAGCTAGAGCCTGCTCGGACTGAACCTGAGCTAGGACCTGAGTCAATGATGACATCGGGATCAGGTCCTGGTGGGGGTACTGGTAGAAGGGGTTTAACGTTGGATCAGTTGCCTTATGATATTCTTTATTTGGTTAGTTTGCAGGTCATTTTCTTCTGTTCATATGTTGGCGTTTTTTATCTGGCCTTTTCTAGGGCCTGTTTAGGATTTTTCTTGGGTTCTTGGATTGTTGTTGTTGTTGTTGTTGTTGTTGTTGTTGTTGTTGTTGTTGTTGTTGTTGTTGTTGTTGTTGTTGTTGTTGTTGTTGTTGTTGTTGTTGTTGTTGTTGTTGTTGTTGTTGTTGTTGTTGTTGTTGTTGTTGTTGTTGTTGTTGTTGTTGTTGTTGTTCTGTGTCGATTTTGTATGTGTGGTCGCATGGGAGGTGTCTTTTTCCTTTTCTCTTGTTTCTTTTTTGTGTCCCTTTATTCTTTTTCCTTTTTTCTTTTTTTTTTCCTTTTTTTTCCCCCTTCTTTTCCTCTTTTTCTTCCTTTTGGTTCTATCTTTTCTCTTTCTCTCCCTACTTTCTTCCCCCCTTTTTCTTAGTCGTTGTACCACTCCACTCCCACATTCCCGCTCCAAGATGGCTAACCCACCACTGTGTTTCCATCCATACAACACAGATCATCGAAGAGCTCTGCAAACCCATTCCCCTGCGGTCTGACATACTCCACGATCAGCTCGCGCCATCAAAACGGCAGGGGGGATATGTTGGGAGAGGTGAGATCTATCGCGCTATACGACAACTCCGCAAACTACCTCTCGTTTGCAAGGCCTTCTACGACCCAGCGATGGCGAATATCTACAAATATATTCCCTTCAGCTTTCATACCCTTAATTCCAAGAACTGGTCTAGCCTCGCTGAATTTTGGAATCGTCAGGAGAATCGTCCCGTAACGGGCCGTATACGACGACTTCACATTGTCTTCAATCCAGAGGGGCTCGACCGTTGGAATTTTGACTCACGCTACGCAGATGAGCCTGATGTGAAGAACCATCTTGATGGTATCAGGCGTCTTAACAAGATATTGATGTCTTCCCTGACGGATCTGTCGGAGCTGGAAGAGCTTGATATCAGCATAGTAGGTCGCCACGAGGCCGTGGGCACGTCAACTTCTGAAATGAAACCTTCGTGGTATCTTCTCACAAGCTTGAAGAACGCGCTTACTAACCGGTTTGATAATCTGACTACTCTTGGGCTAAAAGCCCCTGCCTGTGATTTGGCTTCACTTCTGCAGAGCGTGTCGTCGGAGCTCTGTGCAAATCTTAGATCATTTTACTGCACGCTATCAGGCTGCAACATTGGTGGAGGATTCAAGCCTGACGAAGACCCAACAGATACAATCAATGCCTTCGTCAAGAGATGTCCTAACTTGAGGAGCTTGTCACTCCCTTATCTCAGTAGGGGGCTGCGGCTTCATCCGGATAATACGGGTTTGAAAGAACTGATTGTCTTCGAGGGGCCTTGGAATCATACGAATTCGTATCTCAAGAATTTGTATCTCGAGCTTATCCCTGTACTCATGTCAAAAGGGGCCGCTCAGGTAGAATTGTGGTACGAGGGCAAGGCTTGTAAGTTGTTGGAAAATTATTTACCTCTACTGGACCAAGCCCGCAGTTATTTTCCTGTCATCTACTGAGAGCGTTTTAGGCATGGCATAAATGAGTTAAAGCTAACGGATAATCTCACCCGTCAGTCCGTGGCCAGAAATGGTACGCCAAAGTGGCAATAAAATTAGGCTTCAGACTGAAAGTGGTGTCAGAGACAGAGTGGACGTTCCCCTACAAGGTCTCAGTCTGGTAGGCGTGGTGATGAGAGGGTCATAGAGTCACTCCACAGTAACCCAGGTAAGCAACGCACCAAACCTATATCGACTTCATGCGAGGTTCTTTCAGGCCCCATGCCAGCAGGCTCATCATTTCAAACTTGTGCAAGTCAGATTCCACATACCAGATGAGCTCGAGTTCAACACTCGCTAGCCACTCGCGGCTTGATCTCGCTTGAGACACGACCTAATGTCTACCATCGAGCCGAGCATAAGCAGGACATCGGAGAGCCTGGAAGCCCGATGGTTTCTCGTCGATGAGAATAATACGCTTGCAATACTCCATCGTGGCAATGCTTGCGGAGGGGTAAAACCGGAGCTTCGTGATGAGGATTCTCCAGGTAAATGGTTGGAAAGCAGCGATCGTGTCCCGAGTGGTTGGTCTGGAAACATCATGTAACCATTAAGCGTCCTGTTCCGGTGATGAGGCGGGAAAAGAAATTCCTATGACAAGTTAATATCCCGTCAGTATGTGGTTGGTTCTGTTAGTGCTGTTATCTTCAGAGCGTAAACCGCTCAGCCTTCCTATGATATGCCGATGACCTTACATCCAGACTGGGAACGTGAAAAGGCCAAGATCCCCATGTTCGCAAAGTGTCAAAGTGGTCCGAGTCGAGTGGTCCCGAGGCTAGAACAATGCAGGAGTACCCAAACATTGGTCTAATGACTTTGTCCGACTCGATGCTTGGACCTTGCATGGTATTAACGAAGAAAACGAGTGGTATCGTGAAGGGGCAGTGTTCCTGCAAGGAGTATCTTGGACTGTCGTGCTAGTCTCTGAACATTTCCCGTGACGGTAGACAGATGTGCCCAGGGTTGACGAATGACAGGGTCTCGGTGACGGATTGGGATGGACAGCCACCACGAGTCATGGGCGTCTAGAAGGAAACGGGTAAACTTCCAAGCATATCCAGGGCCGGTGGTTGATTCGTCAATATTGGATGGTGTTTTGTTGGCCGATCATCTCTGTACAGCCTGATGGCGATGAGAAGATCGAGGCACACAGAGAGGCTGTTTCTTTGTCTCGTGTCCATGTCTCGTAGGTACGTATCGAGGATCAAAAAGGCCAAGAGATCAGGCTGCCACCCAAGACTGATGATGTTGGTGCCGACCGTCGGCTAGCGGATTGGGTGTGCAAGCAGGTGGCATTGTTGGCGTAAAAGCTAGCGGGTCTGTGGCCATGCTGGGTCAGATGGGTTGTTGTTGGTCGTCCGTCAAAAAGGGTCAATTGGCCGGGGCCGGGGCCTAGGGTCGGTTCGGACTGAAAGGTTCTTGGCTTCGGTTGGCCGTACCGTCTTATCAAGGAGTCTTGAGATATTTTCATGGTGTCATGAGTGAATAACTGGCTTGATACATTCGTTAGCAGGAGGGCACACCGAGTGACAGAGCAGGCAGTTTGAAGGGCAATCAAGTGCAGGACAGTGGCTGAGGACGATTGGGGCGTCCTGTAGGCGGCTCCTCCAGAAATGTGCTCGTTGTATGATAGCGGGAATAACGCGTTCTTGCGCGGGAGAGGTCGTGGCGGAAAGACGGATTCGATGCGAGGGGCGGTGCGTCATAGAGGCCTCGATGCCCAATAACGTTGTTAGGGTGGCGTGCCAGCAGACCCCAATATCAAAGATTCCTACACAGTGCAGAGCATGTAAGGCTGTCAGGTCGGTTGGTCGGATATCGGCAACTGGATTTTGTTGTGCGGTGCTTTCGCTTTCGACTGGCCACTCGGACCCCGTGATGACTCTGAGGACGTTGACGAGGCAGTGCATGGAAGGAGGCAAGTTGCTTGCCTATGCGGGAATTTGGGGACTTGAAGATAGTAGATAGATGGCGATTATTCGGTCGGTGTTCGATACAGCCAACGGATGAATGTGCGTGCGGATGTGTTGGAGTGATGAAAACAACAAAGGAAGTGATACATGCGGGGAAATGGCTCCACAGTGCAGCACTAACAGCATCCACTGATCCCCAAATCGACCGCTTAAAATGCACCTTGCAGGACAACCCCAGCGCCATGGGAAATGTTATCGCTTACACGACAGGAACCACGCCTGAGCACACCACACCACCTTCTTTCTTCGTTTCTACCTTTGTATCCGGGCCAGATACCACGAGGCAGTCATACATGCCACTGAATCACCAACCAGGCCGCCACACTCTGTCCTCTTGCCTTGGCACATCGCTGGATTCGAGAATGCTTAAAAGGTCACCGTCCCCCTCCCTCGAATCGTCCTTCTGGATATCCACATTCCATCTACCACTTACACTTGTATGATTAACACCCAATCATCCAACCAAGTGCAACGACCACAATAACATCAACAACCATTGGTCACCCCACTTACTCTCTTCCAACACACACCTCCCCATCACCACAACCATGAGCTCCATCTCGACTGACCCGACCCCCCTTAAGGGCAAGGGCCCCGCGCTCATCGATTACGACCACGAGCACGAGCCTACCACCAACGGCGCCGGCGGCTTCCGCCCTCAAGCGCCCATGACGGTGCAGCCTCCCAAGGCCGAAGACCTCCAGAAATCCTACGCGAGCATCATCACCCACGAAGCCGACCCCAAGGACTGGTACGGCTATATGATCAACGGCCTCGGCGCCGTCATCGGCACCATCGGCGCCATCCCGTGCTGCATCGTGTGCCCGAACCCGTACAAGACGGTCCAGCAAGGCAACGTCGGCCTGGTGACCAAGTTCGGCAGGTTCTACAAGGCCGTTGACCCGGGTCTCGTCCGAGTCAACCCGCTCGCCGAGAAACTGATCCAGGTGGACGTCAAGATCCAGATCGTCGAGGTGCCGCAGCAGGTGTGCATGACCAAGGACAACGTGACGGTGCAGTTGACGAGCGTCATCTACTACCACATCGTCAGCCCGCACAAGGCCGCGTTCGGTATCACCAACGTCAAGCAGGCCCTGATCGAGCGCACCCAGACTACCTTGCGCCACGTCATCGGCGCCCGTGTGCTTCAGGACGTGATCGAGCGCCGCGAAGAGATTGCTCAGTCCATCGGGGAGATCATTGAGGATGTCGCGGCCGAGTGGGGTGTCGCCGTCGAGAGCATGCTCATCAAGGACATCATCTTCTCCCACGAGCTGCAAGACTCCCTCTCCATGGCTGCCCAGAGCAAGCGTATCGGCGAGAGCAAGATCATTGCCGCCAAGGCCGAGGTCGAGGCCGCCAAGCTGATGAGGCAGGCCGCCGATATTCTGTCAAGCGCTCCGGCCATGCAGATTCGGTACCTCGAGGCTATGCAGGCTATGGCCAAGTCGGCGAACAGCAAGGTCATCTTCTTGCCAGCTACAAACCAAACGATGCCTAGTCAGGCGCAGTTCAATGCGTCACTGGATGCTCCGGGATCTTTCAACCAGGGCGAGGGCAGCGGTGCGAAGAAGGACACGACCTCGTTCCACGACTTCGGATCTTCCGATGGGGGGTTCCAGCAGGCGTTGAACGCGCACATTGTTGAGAACATATAGTCTCCCAGGGGTAGGAGTTATGATATGAACCCAACACTCCGGCCTACCGCTGCTCAGCTAGAGCTTAATCAGGGGCTTGCTCTAGCAACATCACTCTGTTTATTGCTCGCGTCTCCTTCCAGCCGTTTTCACTTTTCTCTTCACGTTACGGTACATATCTTCTTTTTGCAGGATACCCATGGGATGTTTTTGCCTTGGTTTTTGCTTCGTTTGAAGTTTCAGTTGGAAGGCATGGTACGGGAAAGCGATAATGGGAAATGATTTCTTCGGTTTGGACCATGGGATCGCTCGTTGCCAGTACATGCTTTGTTTGATGAATATACCCACGTTTCATTACCTTACTCTACATCATACACTCGCTAGTATTGGTAATGATAATTCAATTCTACAGTCGCTACTTGTCTTCTCGTGCACACTTATTCATGGTTGCTGTGAAGTCTACAGTGTTTGGTCACAAACATGAAGGCAATTTGATCATATAATTATTCATACAGCCGCTATCTCTTTCGTACCCGGACGCTTAACTTCACTTCTCCATGGACTTTCATCGAATACAGACCTGACTTCTTTACCCAGTCTAGCCTCCCACCTCTCAATCACCCAGTTATGTACATGTAATACTAGTAAGTATGTACAGCCCAATACTGGTTTGCCTGTTAGCTTCGTACTCCAGTGAGACACATGTAACCCGTTGGGAAACGCGGCAAGGTCACTCAGTGTAAAACGCCCAAGTTCAAACCCAAGATGCATTGCCTATATCATCATTAACATATTGACACTAATGTTAAGCCAACATTGTTAAGCCAAACACATAAACTAGATTTAAAGACGTCTAGACAAGTTGACCAGAACTCGATCTAATAAACTTTCTACGTGCTATTTCCCGCTCCGGCTCCCTCTCTCGCTCCGGCCATCGCCATCTCCACCACGTCCATTGCTTTCGCCGCCGCCGCCGCCCCCGCTAAAACCGCCACCGCGTCCCATCTCCTTGAACTTCTTGTTACCCTCCTCACGAGAGGATACTGCTCTTTCGGAGTCGGCTTAGACTCCGGTTCCGTCTAGGTCCCTTCGCCGTCCACCTTCTCTTCGGAGACAGACGCGCCAAAAGTCGACGCTTGTTGTCGGATATTGGCGAAATCGGCAGCGATCGATTGGAAGAGCTTGACTATCGTTGTCGCGATGGCCCGAATTGCGACTTCGATTGTCAATGTGAAGAAGAAAAGAGAAGATTGAATGGTTTTGGTTGAGCCGGGTCGTTATAGACTGTTGGCCGGTTTTGATTCCTTCCAGGGACCGAACAGCATCTTTTGCTTCTTTTCATTTCCTCTACGACGAGAGAGTGGCTGCATATGGCCGTTGGAGAAGGAATCATTTTTTATTTCACAATGGGTCGCATCTTCGGGTACTCAATAATGAGGGGCTCTAAGTTACCCATTAGCGGAGCGGGTAGCCACTCGTCTTCCAGCGGCGGTAGGTCGACGTATTCAAAGTCATCGGAGGTCGCCTGAGTCTCTTGGTCTATTGGGCACCATTTGTGAAGATGGATGAGGGTGTTGCGTATTCCGTCGCGCCGTACGTCTCTTCGGCTCGAACGTGTGCATATACCTAGTTTTCGAAGATACCTGAACTATTTCCAGTCGGTTGAGTAGGTAGCTAGATGTGCGCGAGCAAGTCACCCATAACCAGTCGATCTCGTCATCTGATGGGTAGAAGCCCGAGAGTACCGATATGGTTTCGAAATTAGGACCTTCCAAATCAGGAGTGCTCTAGGCTCCGTCATCTTCAGAATCCCAATCTGATGGCGCCATGTCCAGCACGTAAGTGTGTACCGAACATGCCTGTGACCGCACTGGAGTGTGACGGACAGGGGTGGAGGAGTTGATGAAAGAAGTTCCGACCGAGGGTTTCTTGCGCTCGACAATCCATGCTGGCCGGGTTCGCGTGGAGTTTGATCGAAATTTCGAACCAGCATCTGGGGCTCATAATCAGATGCCACCTGAGTTTTGCCAGCTGATGGTGCAAACCTTTTCGAAGCTTGTCGTATACAAAAATGGGACATCGTACGCCGTGATCAGCGAAGTCACGAGAAATCAAGGGAGAGCCAATCTATCTCCGAAGAGAGACCCGAAGCGTCACCGCTAACGTCGAGGGACAGCCAATCTATCTCCGAAGAGAGATCCGAAGCGTCACAGCTGACGATTGAACTATAAGGCGAGGAACCAGAGAGATGAGTGGGCTTACGATCCAGAACTATAAGGCGAGGAGTAACGAGCGGGCGACCTGGAGCAACCTGAAGAGAGATCTGACAGCCGAAAGAGCCAATCTGTGTCGAGCGGCTCTAAGTTCATGACAGAAGGTAATCCGTATTCACCCAGCGGTTGAGTTTCGACGGGTGTTGTTTGTAGGCTGGCGAGTCGACACATTCAAAGTCCTCGGGGGTCGCCTAGGCCCCTTGGTCTTGCTGGTCCATGAGCGGAGCGGAAGGTAGCCACTCGTTCTCCAGCGGCGGCAGCTCGATGCATCATCGGACGAAAATTGGGTTTTCAGGATCGTTAGCTCCGTCGTGAGTTTCCTAGACCCGTTCAGTCTTGTTGCTATTCTGAGGTGACGGGTGGGGAATTGCCGATGTCTTCCGGATGGGGGCTAATGGGGTCCTGCTTCATCATCTTGTCCAAGTCCAGCGCGACCTGCCCGACCTGCCCGACCTGCTCCACCCGCTGCCGCGTTGAAGGATCGTGTTCACCAAGCACCGGGGCAACCTTTTGCCCTTCCGAAGTGGTTTGGGCCTTGGGGTGTTACTGTTTGGTTTGCAATTAAATGGATGGGGCTTGTTCCAGTCGGAAAGCCAGGATCCAGTTGGTGCAGCGAACAGTGTGCGAGTGGACGGACGGGTGCAGTATGATAATGGTGGACGGGTACTGAGTATCAATACAACTTGTCGATGCAGTGAAAGTTGGTTGCAAGCCGAAGGAAGAGAAGAATCGAGGGGAGGAGAGGGATGCAGCGTAGTCTAAATACACCTTGGGAGGTTTTTTGGTATGAAATATTTGCAAGGGTCGCCGCAAGAGCAGCAGCAATGCGCGGTCTGTGATGAAGAGGTCGAGGACATGATTGATGGATTTCAATTGATCAGATCTATGAGACTCGTCAGTTAAAGTCGCGATAGCAGAAACAACTTGGGCAGCGAAAATAGCTGGCGTACCTAATCCACTCCTCGAGGCATTTGTTTGCGGTATCAAGCAGTTCATTCTCATCGCGTGTGACTGGCCTTGCGGATGATGTCGAATTTTTGAGACTCGTGGTGATTTGGGTGGAATGGTCCAGCAGTGTTGCCGTACTGGTATCTGGGGAGCCGATACGGAAGATGGTATGGCACACGGATGCCATTTCTATAGCAAAGCCAATAGTTTGCATGACATTGCACGCGAGCCTGAAGGCTTCGAGGCCGGACATGTTATCGGTGGCGGCGGGTCCGAACAAATGGTCGTAGACCTCGTCAACGTTGGCTGAAAGCCATATTAGTGAACAGAGGTAGTATACCACGACAATAACAAACGGCATCCATGCCTTGAATGACATGGTGCTGACGAGGTGTAACAGTGCTTCCAACCAAGTCGTCGCATCTGCGGCGACGGCGGCGACGGGTTCCGAGGCCATCATGTATTGTTCTTTGAGATGCACTCTTCAAACAAGGCAACATCGCCTAACCTGGGACCGGAAAAACAAAAGAAACGAAAGAAACAAAAACACCAACGCTCTTCCCGGTCAGTTGATCACATCATGCAAATTCATTTTCCGTTTCCCTTGGTCCTGGTGCCGTCGCGTCCGCGTAGGACGGCGGCGGTCCGGTCGTGACTTTTGGAGCCGGATCCGCGTAAGATGGTCGTCCATCTGTAACGTTGGGGGCCGGAGGGGCTTGCGTCAGAATATGGCCCTTCATGTATCTGTAGAATTGATGCCCTTTGAATATCGGCCAGACGATGATGAACAAGACAACCAAGCAAAAAAAATGCACCAAATGTCGTTGCAGCCGTTGGGGAGAATGCGAATCATGTGGACAGATTGTCCTCCAAATCTTGATAGATTGTGCTTGAGCGAAGTCGAAGAGACTCAGCAATAGCGAGGTCGATGCTACTGCGATCCCTACCCAAGCTCCTGTTGGTATTCTGATGCGGTGTGAGCGGCAGGGATCGGATACATCGGACACGGTTTCGTTCCGACAATCACAAGTCGACGCCATCGTAGATTGGAAGCGGCAGAAGGTCGATGTCGTTGCGAGCACTGCGAGTGACTACATGTTAGAAATGAGTTGAAGAGGCGGAAGGGGCGGCAACATCCACGCCCTCAGTCTTCTGGACCGAGGAATGGGCAATGCTCGCGGCACTGCCAACGAGAACGAGTTGATGGCGCAGTCCTGGATGGACGGACTAGACGGGTGACAGCGCGGAAGTACTCTAGAAGTGCTGTGCGCATCGGTTCGGAGATGATGACAGGTTTTGGCATGGTGGCTGCTGGCTTGGGGTTTTGAAAGGTTGGCTGGGACTGGAAGTCATCAAGTGTTAGCAGCCATATATATGATAAGTACCTTAGCTATGAATGCCTTACTTGATGATGAGGGACTTGTCTAGCTGCCTGCTGGTACTTGAGCGTGGCAGGGCGTGGATGGTAAGAAGTGTGATGGATGTAAGATGCCGTGTAGACTGACGGTGGTAAAGTTTGCGACAAGAGCTCCGCCGAAGACTAACACTACTTGGTGTAAAACATCGGAAAAGTTGGATGTTGATGCAGAGTGTGAATGTTGATGATGTATCCAAAGAAGAAATGATGTGTTTGATGATGAGAGAAGAAAGAGTCCAGTGCGCTCTTTCTGCTCCTTCTTGACGGCTGGAATTGGGCTGTCGAAGAAAGAGTGATCTGATGACCAGTCTTCTTCGTCCGTTGGATGGATCGATGAACAGACGGAAAGGTTGTCGAGATTGGGACCTTCGGAACGATGTTGAGGATACGCGAGATGATGGGAGGCATTGGCAGGGCTCTAAGCCGTGATCTCTCCTCTAAGGCAATACGATGGGCTGCTGGCATAGTGAGGGTAGTTGGTGTAGCGCGAAAAAGGCTTGCGTTCTGTTCAACAAAAAAATTCGCTGTTGGAATTGTCCCTGACTTGAGTTGTAGGACGAAAGAAGAGAAGAAGCATTACTGAGTTGGTGCCGATGAGCCGAGGCGGGAAGATGGAGGCTCATGTCATGCCATAATGCTGTATACGGGCATTCCGGGCACTCAAAGTCTGAGATGTAATTCCCTTGTTTGGTAGGAAGAACCAATGGTACGAAGAGCTTGGCCGGCATATCGTGTGCAAGAACATCTGGCGATCCGCATCGGTAATCTCGACAGTGGTGTATACCAGAGGGCACGAGCCTGGGGTAGGAGGGGGTGTATAGGCTGGTGCCGGGCGAGGTGGTGCTTGGAGATGAGCCTCCTCTGGTCATGCAAGCTCAGTTGCATGTCGCTGGGTGATGTCGTCTTCGTTGCTACTGGAGTTGTCAATGTCGTACGGTCCACGGGTTGATGTGGCGTCCCATGATGTTGATTTCTGTTTGTCGGGGGTGAGCAGCGCGAGTGCTTTTAACCGGAGAGGAAAGAAACAGTGTAAAGTTCATGATTGCCATCAATGAATCCGGCGTTCGATTCGCGGTTGGTTGGCGCACCAGTCTAGAAGGGGAAATGCTCAGAGCAAGTCAAAGATTGGGAAAAGTGCTTGAATCTGGAGAAGAGAAGAATCCGGTCAAAGGGGTGGGGGAGCCCAGATTATATACCTGGCCATCTGCCCCCTCATGGCTTCCAGTCTGCATGCAGATTTGCTTTCTGGCTTCCTGACTTGCTTCCTGACGTGCGTCTATGCAGGATCTCTTTCCCGGCCACGCTGCCGTAGCTTCCTTGGGGTGACGATGCCTTCCTCCTCGGCTATTGAGCGCCTTCTATCAAGTCATACAGGCACCAGAAACCGCAAGGACCGGCGTAGATAGGAGAGGAACCTACAACTAATAACAGAAAGGAGAATGGACGGATGGCGGAAGGGGGATCCCCGGATTGACGGATGGAAACAGGCCGGGAAATGCCTCGGGAAGGAATCTTGTCCAAATGATATTGAGTTATCACTGCCAAACCACAAAACAGTGAAGAGGAAGGAAACTTCCAACACCACAGCCCAACATTCTTGCACTCTATCGGTTCGATACTTCCCACCAATCCTTCCCAAACCTCCAAAAGGCCTCGGTAACACTTGACTACCTCTACACTTAAACATTGAGCAAGAACATGTAATGAGTTTCGAACCAGACATAAGGTACCGACACTGATTTGAACCCTTCATCGCCGAATCTAACACATAAACCTTGGTGAAGAACGCCTAGAAGATTGGACGAGACGTCTGAGACAAATAAACTTCGCGGTAATGTCTTGCACAGAATCCTTGACGGAATCCCCTCCCCTATGGCTTAACAAACTAAGCACGCCGTAGAGGAGACAATTCACTTACTTGACATCCCCAAGGACCAGGAGGACACCGGCGACATCTGCCTCAAGCTCCTCTCGCAGCTCAGGGGCATCCATCTAGCTTGGCAAGACATCTTCGGCTGGCGCTTTGTGGTTACCGAAGGGGATGACAAGAAGTGGAAGGCAGAGAAGGCTGCTGAGGGGAAAGAGGCGCAGACTGTTGACCAACTGGAATTGGGTTCCGCGCTGGGCAGTTGTGAAATGCAATAGAAGTAGCTAGACACTATCATTCCACCCCGCCCATTCCCATCTCTACAACCAGTAAACCGCGCAGGAGGAATCTACCTTAATCCACTCCATGACAGCCCCAGATGATATCAAGACGTTGTCTCGTTGTCCGGAAATGAACAAGGCGCAGCGCGGGAAGGTACCTATATTCCCCATGAAAGGCTTTGCTGTTCTTACCTCGCTAGGGGAGTCGATAACCGTAGAGGTAAGAGCGCTGTGCTTGACTTCGTTCCAGCCAACCTAAGTCCGTCATATACCTACCTTCCATTCGTGGTCTTCACTACCGAGGAATTTGAAGATGACAGGTAAGTATCACCGTAATATTCTGGAGGTGCGACACTTCTCTAGGCTAGAGGTAGGTAGCCAAACCCTTTTCTGGAGAAAAGGGGGCTTTCCGGGAGGAGGAGGAGGAGGTCGCGGCAGAAGTGGAACTTGATTGGCTTTTGGATGCAGGCGTCGTCGGGGCTGGACTGTGATGGCACCGGGCGGGTCCGTTGGACTTTGACAGCGGACTGCTTGAGTGTCCGCGGTTGCACGTTCAACTGTCCACCGTTCCGACTACCTAGTCTCTTCTACTTCCGGGATCTCACTAGGTACCTAGAGGTATCCATAGAGACGGGCACTGATCAAGATGGTATTCTTGTACGAGCTCTGTGGGGTGTATATATCAAGGTATAGGCTTAGATTTCGGGGCCGTGATCTTCACTAGATCCCTCGGAGGGTAGAGAACCGGAGTGAATGGTGGATCTCGTCCCAAGTGAATGGTACTATGGGTGCCGGCTCCAGCTCCAGGCTCCTCCCTGCCTTAGGCAAACAGTTTCTATACTGGGGAGCCAAGACCAAGTCTGATAGCTACCTTACCCGGTACTTAAGGTCTGTGTTTGGAAGGTACAGTCACCAGACCACCGTGGGGTTGGTAGCGTAGTCGTCACCATGTGACGCGTTTGGCTCGCTATCTCCTTAGTAGAAGCGGTTCGTTCGAACCTGGATCCGGACAACCTTTGAACAACTTTTTTGTCACTTTTTACCTTTTCAACATTTTCGACTACTATATTAGTGTAAACAGTGGCGTGATGGACTACTCGGAAATGCGACCTGGAAATACTGGCTTGGGAATGAACTTCGAGGCCAACCATGGGCGAGTTGGAAATGTTTTGGTTCCAAGGTCAAATTTCCGGACAGAGAGGTCCAAAGTTCGAGAAGCTGCTTTTGGAAGTTTTGGGAGTAAACGATCTCCAGGTGTTCTCAAACACCACTTGAGAAATGTTGGTGCATGAGAACTTCAAGCGCATAAGTCTCATTGTTTGGGTGTGCGTGATCACTATATCACAATTCCAATCGATGAAGGTAGCTTGTTGCGAGAACCAAGAAAATGACATTTCATCAAAAGGGTATATACGCCTCATACGCCTCTACGTTTTCAGAACATTAAGCACCCGTCCAACCCCCAATTAAGTATCCAACTCAATCATCAAACCCGCCAAACTCATCATCACTATCATCCACGTTCTTCGCCGGCGCCTTCGGCTTGGGCGGGTTCGCCGCAAGCGCAGCCGCCCTCTCCTCCGCCGCCTTGGCCTCGTTCCGTTTCCTCACCTCCTCAATCATCTGCTCCAGCTTCAGATGCTCCTCCTTCTCCTTCTCCGTCATCTCGCTGAACTTCTTGGCCTCCCTCTTTCTCCTCTTCTTCTCGCGCCTCTGCAGTTTCGTCTCCTCCTGCTCTGTTTTGCCGCTCCACGCCTCGTTCTTCTTGCGCTTGTCGCCCGTATTCTCTTCCTGGGCGCGCTTCGCCTTCTCCTCCTTCCACTTGGCCAGCTCTTCCTGTCTCTTCTTCTCGCGCACCTTCTCCTTGAAGGGGATCTCTTCCGTGTTGATTCCCAGACCCAAAGAGCGGTCGATCTTAGCTTCGCGGACTTCGGGCATCTTGGGCAGCTCGAGAAGACCGTAGCCCTTGGCCAGGTCTAGCCAGTCGAGGTCGGCGATGCGGAAGATGGAAGAGGCTTGGTGCTCGATGTAGGAGCGCGTCCAGGAGACGAAGGCGAGCTGGGCCATTTGGAAGATCTCGCGGTCGGCGAGGGCTTGCGACCGGAAGGCGGCCGAGACGCGCTCGACTTCATCCGAGGTAACGGTGATGGCGGGCTTCTCCAGGGGCGCGATGGGAGTTTGGCGGACTTCGAGGAGCTGTACGTAGCCTTCCTCGCGACCGGGCTGGAGCAGAACGACGGCGAGACCGCGACGGCCGGCGCGGCCGGCACGACCACAGCGGTGGATGAAGACCTTGGTGTCGGTGGGCGGGTCGTGCTGGATGACGAGGTCGACTTGGGGGATATCGAGACCGCGGGCGGCGAGATCGGTGGTGAGGAGGACCATGGGCGAGGTGGTGTTGACGAAACGCTCATAGTTCTTTTCGCGGACTTTGGGTTCGAGCTTGCCGTGCAGGGAGGTGACGGAGAAACCGGCGGGCAGGACGGCGCCGAGGATGCGACTGAAGTACTTGACGGCCATGCAGGAAGAGAAGAAGATGATGGATCGCTGCGGCCTGGGTTCGAGCTTTTCGAGGAGCTGGACAATCGCTGGCATTTTCTGGCTGGCTGGGGTGACGAGATAGCTCATCTGTAGAGACATTGGTGTTTTCCTCTCTTGAATAATGCCACCGTCCTTGAGACTCTTGACTCTGACGGTGATCTTGTGTGGGTATAGTAGACCGACGGTAATCAGCCTTTCGACGGCGTCACTGAGCGAGGCACTGAAAAGACCGGTACGGCGCTGCTTCGGGAGATAGCCGAGAATGCGGTTGAGCTCGTTCGCAAAACCCATATCGAGAAGGCGATCGGCCTCGTCCATGATGAGAACCTCGAAGGTAGACGCGGGAGCCTTGACGTATGCGCTCGACAAGAGTTCGGCAAGGCGACCGGGAGTGCCAATTAGGAGATTTGGGGAAAGGCGAAGGAATGTGCCGAGATCCTCGGCGGCCTTGGTGGTGCCTCCGACAAGTAGTTGGGGGACAACGACAGGTTGAGTTGCTGTTGGGCGCTTCTCGTCGCTTTTGGCGTGGGACATGGCTTCGGCGGAGGGTTCGTGAAACTTCATGATGGTAGTGGCGACATTGTAAATCTGGGTCGCAAGTTCGCGGGTGGGCGAGATGATGATGCCTTGGACATGGTGTCGCTTGGCCGGTTCTTCGCCGCGCAGGAGTTTCTGTTGTAAGGGTTGGTCAGCATACGGCCATTTTGATCTGGTGGACTGGCAGAGATCTGGCTTACCTCAATTACAGGAATCAAGAAGGCCAGTGTCTTTCCACTGCCTGTTACGGCCTCGACTACAACATCCTTGTTTCCACGGAAGAGCTCAAGGCAAGACTTTTGAACGGGAGTAGGCTGGGTGAAGCCCATTGACGAGAGGTAGTCGAGAATCCATTGGGCAAGAGGAGGCGTGAGGGCGTCCCAAGACCTGGGAGGTTTCCGGACCTTGGTTTGTGGTTGTGTAGGCGCCATCTTGATTATGTACTTGGTGGAGTATCAGGGCGTTGTAATCGGTCCCTGAAGCTCTGCGTATTGCCTGTTGTGCTGGCAATGCGATGCTGTTGAAACAAAAATTGGCGACCATCCCGTCTAAACAATCCTTATCTTATCGGTCTATCGATAAGGCTAGCGCTGCCTCGAAAGTTGCATAAACCTGAATGCAAGGATCAGTAGTCCCACAGCAACTCGAAAGCGAGGACCGGTCTTGACGTGATCCCTTTCACTTCTTTCGAGTTTGATCGGTCCAAAGCCCAGAATCTTTCATTGGCATTAAGAATTTGTTGAACACCTCACCATCTATGTATGTTCCAGATGAGTGCTCAGACTGATCTGTAAATGCACCCTCTGTTGAGAGACAGCTTTTAGATCTTCACGATCTTCTGTTATTAATGCAATAATGAGATGTCAGAATGTGGGTCTCATCGAAGAGCCCAACCTGTTTAGGCTTTGTCCAATTTGCTTTGTGTTAATGTGACAAGGTGTCAGCACGTGAACATTCAGCTCGACCAAGCTCCCCAGATTTTAAGTCTGTCAACTTTTCAGCGATTGGAAGTCAGCGGTTGACCCAAGTACGAAGTCTCGTTTCAATAGACATGGCCATAGGTATATATCGAGTGAAGCCAAGAACCGAAGATGACGGCATTCACGTCCAACCGTCTTCCCTTCAGTCTCAACTCCTGTCACATGTGCTGTTGTTGCTGTTGAGGCCACCCATGTCATCACGCCTTGCCGCAGTTGGGGTAACGGACCAGTGAGCTGGGGAGCCCGGTGCAACCACCTGAAGAGCAACGCATGGCCATCCGCAACAGCCGGAAATTTCTTTTCTCCACAAACACCGAACCACCGTCATTCGTCTACGATCGTCAGCCACGGCATCATTGGATCCGACACCAAGTCACAGCCAGGGCAGCGTGCCACCTCAGCCACAAGTACATTTTTTCTATTTTGCATCTTTTTTGTCCTGTCGAGATACCCTTCTTTTTCCTGGACCTCAACCCTCCATATCCTATCGATTCGGCAGGATTGTCAAAGAAAATCAACTCTTACCAATCAGAAGCATCATTACTCGTCTTGATGCTACCACGGGTTTCCTTAATCTGCTGAGACATTGCCCTACCTGGCTAACCCGGATCATCGGTTACAAGTCACCTATCCCCGGCCCCCGGTCCCACGTCCCGCTTCAGCTCAGCTTGGAGGTTGGGGCCATCGCATTCTTCCACTTGTCATCTTTTAAATTCCCGGACTTTTTGAACCTTTTTTTCCCCGGCAAGCCATGCGGTGGAGTCGTTACACTCCGCCGCATCGTCTACATCTTTCACGCTGGATTCCTTCGCCCAACACGTAGCGTCCTTCTTTTCCCGAAACCAACACCAACACCCCCAACACCAACAACCCGCTACCCCTCCCTGTACTGGTTGGTCTTCGGCATACGACTGCTTGACCGGCGCGCGCGAGTCTAGAAAAGATAAGCACATTCACTCTTCCTTCTGGCCCCTGCGCTTCTACGACCTGCAACATATCCTCTCGGGCGCCATCTCGTTGCCCGCCCTGCCACCCTTCCCCTACAACATGCCTACGCGTAGCAGTATTCCGGCGACGCCGCGCATCATCTCGCCCAGCCCGACGCCTTCGGAGCGCGATGCGCTAGAGTACACGGGGCCCATGACTAGGGCCGCGAGGAGACGGCTTGCGACACCGTTACCTGTTAGTGAGGAGGGCAACGAGGAGGATGACGTGCCCGGTCGACGGAGAGCGCGTACAAGGAGCAGAAGTCCGGTAGAGACGCGCCCAACGGCCGGCAGGCGGACGTCCAAGAAGAGGACCACCAAGATTGCCGATGCGAACACGACTTCCACAGACTCGACAACAGCCGCGCCCAATGAAGACATGGCCGTGTCCGAGAAGCAAGCGAAGGAGGTATCGAACGGCCATCTGCTGCCACCACAACCGGCAGGCTATACAGGCTGGGGCTGGAAAGACATTAGTCGCAGTCCGAGCCCGCTTGGCCTGATCCCAATCCACAGGCACTGGAGGGCCTTTATACACAGGCACGAAGTTCCGAGGAAAGCGCTCCACGTGTCCATCGGCTTCTTCGTCGTATGGCTCTATCTATCGGGAACGCAGACACTGTCGGTGTGCCCTTACCTCATGGGTGCCCTAATACCCATCGCGGCGGTGGACGTTCTCCGGCACCACAACGCGTCCTTCAACCGGTTCTACGTTAAGGTATTGGGGGCGCTGATGCGTGAGAGCGAGTTTACGGGTTACAATGGCGTCATTTTCTACCTCCTCGGGGCCTGGATCGTCCTGGGCTTCTTCCCCAAGGACGTCGGTGTCGTGGGCACCCTGCTGCTCAGCTGGTGTGACACTGCGGCAAGCACCTTTGGACGGCTGTACGGCCGTTACACACCCCGTATTCGAAGCGGCAAGTCGCTTGCCGGGTCCTTGGCTGCATTCCTGGTCGGCGTGGGCACCTCTGCCTTCTTCTGGGGCTGGCTGGTGCCTACCAAGGGTCCCATGCCCGGCGACGAGCTCTTCATGTTCACGGGCACCCTTCGCCTGCCCCAGCTCCTGTCGGAAGCGGTCGGGCTGACCCCGGCTCAGGCGACGATCTCGGGTGGCCTTGCTCTGGGCGTCATGAGCATCTGGTCTGGCTTTGTCGCTGCGGCGAGCGAGGTGGCTAACGTCTGCGGACTGGATGACAACCTCACGATCCCCGTCCTGAGCGGTCTCGGTATTTGGGGCTTCCTGAAGATTTTTGGCTAAATGATGGATGATTTGGCACGAGCTTGATTGACAATACCTGATACATCTACCTTGGCTTGACTGTGGTCAACGATGCATATCACCGGCGTTCTGGGGCGGCAAGGGGTTAAAAGGAGTCCGATTATTCAACGTTTGGATGGGCGGTTGATGTCGGTGGTATAACACTTTTGTAATGGATGGACTCTGCGGCGAGACTGGGCAAAGGCCCATAAGCCAGGTCTAGAGATGTACGCTCATACCCAGCTGCACCTGTATATCTCACCACTTTTTGTATATTTCTTATCAACCAAGACTGCAGCTATCCTCCAACGTCTCGTGTCGGGAGCATCCAGCCATCAATATTGTGAAGCTTTCAAGGGCCTATCCCCGTTCGTTCTGCATCTTTAAATAGGACTCGGAGAACATGTTGCTGATCCGATAATGAATTTTGCTGTCTTCAGGACCGGGATCACCCGGGGTCAGTCGGAATAATGTGGTCCAGGATGGTGGAACTGACAACCTCAAGGCCGGACGTTAAAGGGCCTGCCTCGGGCTGTTCGTCTGCCTGCATCTGTCACGCGGTGTCCGCACCTCGAAATGTCATGCATTGACTCAGCTCGGCTTGTCGAACATCAGGGTAGGCGGTGAGTCTCATTTCCTTTTCGCAGCCAGACGGTGGAAAGGCGGAAAGAACGGGCGGATGTCGTGAGATCCGGGGAAGGAGCGAGCCCGCGAAGCACGACAGCAAAGTGCAGGGGAGGGATGCATTTTGACAAGGATTGTCTCGCGCCTGCCGGTTTCACCTTTCTGCTGGTATCATTTTTCGACTCTGATTTTTCTTGTCCTCCGTCAACGGAACTTGCCTTCTTCCAGCACCTCACCTCCTCTCATCGTGATCGACAAGTGGGAAGCTTTTGCTTTGTGTTAGATTAGACGGTGCAGAATTGATTGATTAAAAAGTGTATATAGCTAATTCGAGCGAATGCTCTAGAAGGTATAGGGGGTGTTGGGGTAGCCTAGATATGCCTAGAAATTAGGCTTAATTAAGTGGTTAGGAATCTAACCCTTAACGAGTTAGCTAGAATCCTTACCCTTGAATTTAATATACCTCCTTACTTATAAACCTTTTAAAACGAGTAAAAGTAAAGCTATTTATAAAGTTTTTCTTTTAGTACTTCGCTTTCCCTAGCTAAATTATGAATATCTTCTAATATAGTATTACTAATTTCCTTCTCCTTCTCCTTCTCCTTACGGGCTAGCGTATTCGCTATCCCTATTAATTCCCAGAATCTCTTATATTCCTACTATCCTAAAACTTTAATTAATCCGTTAGTTAGCATTTTCTTCGTTTTTAAATACTTAACGTCGATCCTCCCTATTTAAATCTCCTACTTTAATTAATAATTATAAATATTAATATACTTTAATTTAGTTATTAATTTAATTATTTTAACGGTTAATACCCAGATCGTCTAAATATTATTATAATTAATTATAGGTACCTTTATATTAAAAGGAATTTTCATTTCCTTATAAAGGCGTATAATAGCGATAGTTTCCTTTATTACGCTAGAGAAAAGGAGTAGTTCTACTTTAGTAATTAAAATTGAAATTGTCTTTTATTTAATAATACCCTAATAGACTATATCCCCAAATAGTTTAATAGTAAAACTTTAAAAGCTCTTTTGATTAAGGGAATTATTAGCGTATAGTATATTAGAAATTATTTCCAATATTTTCGAATTATTATAATAAAGGGAAACTTTAGAGTAAAGTTTTAAATAATATAAGACTTTATTAATAGCATTATAATATTAAAGACCGGGATTATAATTATAACAAACTAATTTATTAGCTGTAATAGGGAAAGTACGGTTAATATAAGTGCTGGTTGTATAGCTTAATTAAGGTTCTATAAAGAAGGAAAGTTCTGTCTGAGAGGCAGCTCTACCGGAGATGCGAGGTTTTGATAGGGGCTATACAAATATAGCTACGGCGCTTTATAATAGCTCTGGTCGATAACTAGAGCGCTATAGCCCGGGCCTTAGCCCTATAATATTACCCCTCTCCTCCCTCCTCCTACCCCTCTATACGTTTACTCCTTCTATTTCGACCGACGAAGGTAGTAAATAATAAGTAATAGCGTACGTATATACGCACTTTTAGAATTATATATAAAAACCCTTCCCCCGACTTTTTTTCCCTTTTTCTCTCTTTTCTTCCTTTCT